ACAGACATGCTTTATGCAAAGTGGGGGGTATGTTAGGAAAATGCAGGCCTGCGTACAGACATGCTTTATGCAAAGTGGGGGGTATGTTAGGAAAATGCAGGCCTGCGTACAGACATGCTTTATGCAAAGTGGGGGGTATGTTAGGAAAATGCAGGCCTGCGTACAGACATGGTTCATGCAAAGAGGGGGTATGTTAGGAAAATGCAGGCCTGCATACAGACATGCTTGTTATAACCCTTAGTTAAATTTTATTCAACAACAAATCCTACAACCATTGCATCTGTTGACATAACCAGGCGCATGTTATACAAACAGGATAGGAAAAATGTCACCTAATACAGCTGGTATAATATATCATACTGTACTTAAGTGTTTGCTGTTCTGAATAGGGTCCTGACGGTCCACCAGGAAAAATTGGCTTTCCGGGACAGCAGGTATGCCCCTTGTTTGTTATGGTATAGATTTTTATTATCGTTACTTACGTGGTCCTTCATTATTTAATGGTACTTAATTCATCGCGTTTACAATTCATTGGGTCATTGTTTTAAGTCGCCGGTGGTGTTTAAATGGCAGCCTCAATCTATTTCACATCAGTTGTTGTAACAAACATCCCTTAAGGTGTATTATTGAATAAAATGAGCTGTATAATTATATGCTTTGATTACGCCTGGTGTATTTTTTGGCTTGCTGCCATAACAGTTCCTTTCTTTGTTCTACATTCCAGGGGAAGATTGGGGAACCAGGTGAAACTGGGCCGCAAGGATTTCCAGTGAGTGTTTTCTTTCTGTGTTTATTTTCGGACTGCTAATGGAGTCACTCACCATGTTAAAGAAATGGCACCTGGGTATATGCAGACTGGCTTGGGCACCTGGGTATATGTAGACTGACTTGGGCACCTGGGTATATGCAGACTGACTTGGGCACCTGGGTATATGTAGACTGACTTGGGCACCTGGGTATATGTTGACTGACATGTACTTTTGTGTCATTTCAGGGCATTCATGGGCCATCCGGACCCCCAGGGATGAAAGGAATAGCAGGCAAACCGGCAAGTTTCCCTTTTTTTCTGGAGGATTCAGTACATCACTGATCTGCTCTGCTATAGCTTTAAGAGATGTGTATACTTCCTCCTCTAAATCCTTCAAAAGGCTGACAGGAAAGACAAATTTGCATTTGATTGCATCCTTTTTTTCCTTTACTTTTGAACAGTTTTCCTGTCAGATGGCAGCAGAATCTTTAAAGAGAGCTATGTTGTTAGTCATTGAATAGAAACATAATATAAATCATATTATATCATATATCATAATATATTTGCTGCCACCTGACACAGGAAAACCTTGTGCTTGATGTTTCCAGGAGAGCCTCTGAATATGTTACAATATTTTATAAGTGTGAGGTGGTGGGGAATATTCTCGTTAAGGAAATGCAACCGAGAGTTTTCTTGGTCATATGTATGATTGCCTTGTGCTTGTATCCTTGCCAAGGTATAGTTTTTTTTTTGAAGAGGGAACCAGGAAGATAACGGCTAATAACTATATCATGTGAAATTAATTAGTGACCACAAAGATGTTACAAAAGTTGGTCACCGCACATATGCTTCAAGATCATGTCTGTGCTCTGTTTGTTTACAACCGTATGGCGGGTCATGGAAAAGAGAAGGAAAACAGGAAGTGATGTCACTGGGAGAGCTTCTGGGCATTGCATCGTGGCTGGGGGGCAGAGTCATCTGTGCCACAGTCTGATCCCCAGATCACTGCTAGCATACACACTTGTTTCACACTGCTTCTTGTGAAACCAGCTTCTTGGAAAGGCTAAACATGATTTGCATCTTATCTGTTCCTTTTCCCCTTGTTCTTTGTTAAAGGGACCCCCAGGGCCACCGGGGACTGTTGGACCCCTGGGAGAGATCGGCCCCAAGGTGAGCAATGCTGCATGGACTAGGAATATGGTCACCCTTCCATAGCAACAGCTCCCAGTATAAAACTGCACAATGTTGCGACCTCATACATGACCTAACGCTGTGTACACAAGCGACGTGTGGTGATTCCCTCCTTGCCGGCCCTGGCAGAGCCCCCCCCCAAAGACCACTGCAGCTCTCACAAAGGTTACTTCTGTCCAGGAGTAACGGGGTCCCTCTGCAGCCACTTGATCCCATGCCAGGTGGACATCTGGGCCGCTGTCAGCCAATGAGTCATTAACGGGTCCCTGATCAAAATAATGTGTGTAATTAACGTATAAGAAGAGGCAGAGACAGTCAGCTGGATAGAATCATGCCAACAGGAACACGCCTCTCCTCTAAGCTGGTGCTGCTTGATCTCTAAGATCTCATGCCATTCTGGACAGCTTGAGCTAATACTCATGTTTGATCTCACTTCTGAGTCCCGCTTATGCTGATGAGGGAGAATGCAAACATGGACTCTCATGAAAGGCGAGACGTCTTCAGTTCTCTGATGACTGTGTTATCCTTCCTTACAGGGTCCCCCAGGCAAAGTGGGCGAGCTGGGCCTGGCAGGGGAACCAGGCGAGAAGGTAACACACCTGTCTCTGACAAGGGGCACTGTGTTCACATCCTCAGAAGTTACGCGCTCTGCTAATCCTGCAATTCTGCCTCTATGATTTTCACAGTGGGAAAGTCAATGGCTGATGCATATTGGAATTTCACCCTACTTTTGTTTCCTTGTTCTTTTCAATCTTTACTTGGATTATTTACTTGACTGAGGTGCCATTTAAATGAAGGCTGGCTTTTTGAGTTATACTGGCCAGTTACACCAAGTTAGAATCTTCTAGCAGTATAACTATACCCATCACATCCAGGTACTAGTAATTATACTGTTCAGAAACTTTACCCTCTTGTGTACTTAAGCCTTATGGCACAAAACATACTGAGTTTCAATAGAGACTCTGACAGTAGAGTGATTTTTGGTTATTAACCTACAGAATTTATTTTATTTTATTTAGAATTAGGTGATCAGTGGTTGACACACCACAGCGAAATGTGTCCTCTGCATTTAACTAACATGTGACATAGCAGGGGGCAGCTAATTCAGCACCCAGGGAGCAGTGCTTGGGGGTGGTACCTTGCTCAGGGTACCTCAGTGGCACCTTGCTGGTTGGGGATTCAAACCAGCAATTTTTCAATTACAAGTGTGCTTCGCTAACCATTAGCCCACCACTGCCCACAGTGTAGATCCTGGCTCCAATAAAAGACAGGAATTGTCCTTCTACACTGATACAGAGAACAAACTATTACTGTAACTGCTGGCTGATAAAGGACTCTCTCCCTACTGTGGGCAATAAATGGCTGAATCAGCGTTTATCACTCCTGAGCATGGACAGTACTCTTAAAGTGTGTACGCTGAGACATATTAAAGCTTCTTCATTTCTGTTGTATGTGTCTTGTGCGCATCAGGGCACTCTGGGGTCTCCGGGAAACATCGGAGAGCAGGGCTTGATTGGCCAGAGGGTAGGTGTTTCTCACTCATGCTGTTTTTAATGTTGATGTGATGATTAAACTGGAGTTTGCATTGGTGTTTCGAGCTTGCTTTGGCTTCTGGTCTGGTAGTGGTCGTGCACAGAACGGTGTAAGAAAACAAAACTCTCTTCTAACAGGGGGAACCAGGCCTTGAAGGAGAAGCTGGTGCTGCTGGGCCGGACGGAACTAAGGTGCGAGCAAAGGAGCAGTGATTTTACCCCAGTGTTGATTACTCTCTGCGACTTTCCCTTCTGTGATGATGCTTTACTTCTGATGTAGTGGTTTGCAGTTGCCAGTTGATGACCCTTTTAATGGTGAGAATCCAGTCCCTCTTCTAAAGCTGCTCTTTAGCCCTTTTATATCCTGGTGGAGAAAAATCAGAACCAGGATTTTGTTTCAACCAACCAGTTGAGCATAAAGAGTTACAGTCACTTAGTACTAAACTGGTTGGTTGGATTTTTACTTGCTGGACCTGAAATCTCCGCCTCTACTTAGAAGTGCTTATTCCCCACTTTACCCCAATCCCCCACTGCCCAGGGTACAGTGCTGCTTCCATTACAGTGCCTTCAATTAGAGTGACTTGTAATGGCAGATATCATACCGAACCTGAGCATCAGTCCAAGGTGTCAGCTGGAGGCCTTGCCTGGGCTCCCATGATGTAGCACCATACACTGCGTCACGTGCAGCACAGCACTGCGCCTTTACCCCCTAATAGGGCCTTTTGCATGTTTACATTTCCAGTGCCATGGTTCATTGACCTTTATCTTTGTGCCCGATTCCCTGGCTCATAGATCTCATTCTTTTGATATATATTCCAAACTTGTTGTAAAGAAAAGGATTTTACTGTGTTTTCCTTAAATATTAATATAACTTTATAGGTTATTAGTTGGCAAGATCGTATCGTAGTGTAAGAAATGTCCCCCTGGAATCAGTCTGTCTGTCTGTCTGTCTGTCAATCTATCTAATCTTTTTTTATATAATATATAAACGAAATTATATTAACTTTTTTATGTAAATAGATATTCAAATTATATTAATGCATTAGATAATTAAGAAGTTCCAGTTCCTTTATTTTAAGTCAGCATTAAATAAAGTCATGTATTAGACCCCATGATGTGGTGTATTGCTCAGGGGATTTGGACCCTGTGTCTGTGACCGGGAGGTCACTGGTCCAAATCCCACTGCCGATAGAGTGACGTCACCATTGGAGCAAAAATCTTAACCCCAGTATCTGCAGGGATCTGCTGACCCTGTTTCTCAAATGTATGTCACTTTGCATCAAAACATCTGCAAAATAAATCAAATGTAATGTTGATGTTTTTGTTGACAATGAATAAGCAAAGTGCCATATCAGTTTATACAAGTTCTCCATTGCTCTGTAGCTATTACATCCATAGATTGAAAGGCAGCTTATATTTCATATTTACTATGTAGGAAATTTATCGGAAACCAGCAGCAATATATGAAAAGTAGTCAAAAAGTCTTTATCATATCTAAAGATAAACACTACATTTTCAAATGGAGATTCCTGCATTATTTATCAATACTGGTAGAGTATATTGCTGTCTTTATCTTTAGATATGATAAATCAGTGGTTACAGATAAAATGCCATTATATTTAATACATGACTTTATTTAATGCTGAATTGAATTGTATTTTATTAGAAATTGTTTTTAAATAGTAAAATAACGGTAAAAGTGGTTCCAGTTTTCAGTAAGGGAGACCAGAGACGCTCCCTAAATGGGGGACGTTACTAACCAGAGACGCTCCCTAAATGGGGTAAGTTACTAAGTAATCTTCCTGCATAGCTTAGATTCCCCAAACACCACTGATGTTTAGCAAACTAGTACAACTTTACTTTAAAAAGATTTTTTTTTCCATTGTATCATTTTTTACGGAGCCCCTAAAGGGACATAGGTGATTTAAAAAAATAATTTACAGTATTTGGTGCCCACCAAATACTTTAGTATCTGATGAGCACCAGTTAGTATCTGGTGAGCACCAGATACGGTAAAAAATATATATAAATCACCTATGTCCCTTTAGGGGCTCTGTAATCTTTCTATAATTTTTGAAAAATGAAATAGAAAAATTGGAACCAATGTCACTGGTCTCCCTTAATCTTGTTTGGCGCTTCATGTTTAGCCTGATTACTGCCTGGATTTCATTATGTGATCTCATGAACACGGTTGTGTCATCAGGGTGAGAAAGGTGACATGGGTCCTGAGGGTGACAAAGGAGAGAAGGGCGTCATCGGGCTGCCAGGAAAGGAAGGACAGCCTGGGGACCCTGGCCTCACTGGTGTCAGGGTCAGTCTCGTACCCGCAGTATCGATTGCAGTATCTGCTGATGGATAATAAGTGTCCATAATTGCTTTGATTACCTGACAGATTTAATCACACAGCCTGGTTTATAACTGTAGCACCTACACAGGACTCCATCCATCCTTTTTCACCACTTATCTTAATCAGGGTGACAGGGGGTCTGGGCCCTATGAGCTCAAGGCAGGGAACAGCCCAGGATAGAGCACTGATCCACTGCAGGGCACACTCACTCACTCACACCTACAGGCAATTTGGTAACTCCAATTAACCTCAGCATGCTTTTGGACTGAGGGGAGAAACCCCCACGGTGGCACAGGGAGAACATGCAAACTCCACACACATGGAGCCATGGCGGAGATTTGAACCCTGGTCCCAGAAATGAAGAAGCAACAGCACTAGGCACCGTGCCACCCACGGGGTTATGCGGCATAGCGTTATGGATACACACACATTTTTCACAGCGCAGACAAGAACATGCAGCGAGCGAAGGATAATGTCCTGGGGATCCTAAATGGTGCTATTGAAAATGCAGTAATGTCTGGCATCTAACTGAACCATAAAGTCATTGAGAAAGTATCAAATGACTTGGCTGTCACCAATGCAGTATTCAGCTCATTGGCGCATGGCCGCAGTTCCATACGCAGATATGAAAAATAACAGATGGCCACATAATACTGTACTTTGTATTTTCAGTGCAGTACAGCTGATCTGTTTTTTGGCATCAAATGTGATGAAACGTATATTCCATTTTCGGGGGTTAATATGGTGGCTGGAGCTGTCGTAACCTAGTTACGTCACTGCCCAGACAGATTCTGTAAGGGGTTTGCAGCTGCCATTTGCTCCCCACATGCTCTGCCTGCAGTAGTGACGTTTTACTTTTGGTTAGGCCTTCAACACCAACCTAAGACCAGGTTGTTATCCACAAGTCACCTGGACAGCGGAGCTGAATTCCATAGCCAGGAAACAGTGAGGCATAGGATGGGGTAAAAACAGAAATCAGCCAGTCCAGGGTCTTGTTATGTGGAAGAGGAGGAACCTGTAAGTCTTAAAGTCAGAGCCAAGCAAGTTAAGCAGGAGATAAATCAGGCTGGAGACTGAAGATCAGGCAGGGAACAATGAGCGAGGAATCTGGCAAGTATAAGGAACCACGGGATTTCACTGGAGACAGTGAACTTAAGAGAGGAGCTTCAGGGGTGTCTAATGGCAGACATCCGGTCTTCCTCATAATCATCTCTGACAGTGGCTTAGATTGTGTTTTGGGTTCCCCTTTTGTAGCTAGGTGAACCCTCAACAGATTCTGTCCCTACAACTCACCTTTTAAAATGTATTTCATTTATTCTCTAACATATATCTACCATTTATAATGAGGTATAGACAGTCCCTGACCTACGGACAACTTGTACTTATGAACACACTTCCATATTATAGCCTATTATATTAAAAATCCAGGTTAAATACAATGGTTCCTAATAACGAACGCACATATTACTTTGTCATGCTCGTGAAAACATCTTTAGCAGCTCGTCAACTCAAAGGAACAGTACAGCACCATATGTAGTTATAATTGTTATTGTTATTATGATGTACTTTTCCAGCTTAGCTACAAATTCAATTTATAGACAGACTTAGGAATTGGATCTCGTTGATTACCTGGGGAAGGCCTGTAATCGCTGTCTTTGCTTTTAGGGCCCAGAAGGGAAGCCGGGCAAAATCGGGGAGAGAGGCTTTCAAGGACAGAAGGTACAGCAAGTGGCCCCAAAGTCAGCACTTTCCTCAGCTGATTTCAGAGTCATTATTTAACATTGTTAAATATATCATATGGACTGTTACTTGTGCTGCAGACGCCGCTGTAGCAACATTGCATTGCATCTGTTGGTTTCGACTTTGTGCTTTCCAGGGTGCCAAAGGTCATCTGGGTCACCTGGGAGAGACGGGCCCTATAGGAGAGCTGGGGCCAGCAGGCTTCGTGGGGCCGAAGGGGTCGAGAGGAACAATCGGATCGGCGGTACTGTGGAAAAGCATAAATCGATAAAAGCGTTTTTTTGTTTTCAGCTGGGAACAAGTTGAGAACGTTTATTCTGTTGAGATGTTGGATTTCTTCATGTAAATATTCAGCCTGACGTTTTGTATGCAATCTTTGTTAATATAAAAATGAGACAATATTATGACGATTATTGAGTATGAACGATGCAAAATGCGAGGGCTTGGAAAATAAAACAATCCTTAATCTCATTGAATTTTTTAGCATTGTCATTAATTTTGGAGTTAATCGATGGTGATCTGCCAACAGGGACCTCCCGGGCGCATGGGTCAGCAAGGAGAACCAGGCTTAGCAGGATATGATGTAAGAGCGGCACCCTTGTTGGGTCTCCCTCATGGCATTGTTTGCTTAATCTTTAATCTTTAATCACACTACACAGAAGAAGATTAACTTGCAATTTGAAACCTATCAGAGGACAAACATGAGCCCAGTATTGCGAGCCAGTATTGAGGGCAGTGGGTAGCACTGTTCCCTCATACCTCTGGGACTTGGGCTCGAATCTCTACCTAGGTTCTGTGTGTGTGGAGTTTGCATGTTCTCCCCGTGGGGTTTCCTCTGGGTACTCCAGTTTCCCCCTGCAGTCCAAAAACATGCTGAAGTTAATTGGAGTTACCAGTTAAATTTGTCCATATGTGTGTGGGTGTGCCCTGTGATGGGTTGGCGCCCCCTCCTGGTTTGTTCCCTGTCCTGCACCAGTAGGTTTGTAGGCTCCAGGTGACCCAAGTGGGTACAGAAAATGGATGGATTCTACCACAGTGTCAAAGAGAAGTGAAAATGATTCAGATGTCTGACCATTAGTGATTAATAGGTGACAGCAGTGTTTATTTTGGTTTGCTGTGTCCCTGTATGCTGGCATGTGAATACTGTGTATTCTCTGTGTTCCTTCTCTCTCCAGGGCCACCAAGGACCCCAGGGCCCAATGGGGCCTCCTGGACCCAAAGGTGAAAAGGTAATTCTGCCTGCACTCTCTCAATAAGCATGAATTTAGTTTGACGTGCTCATGGTGATAGAGAGAGGAAGGGGGTGCTTATCTGTCACCGGGCACCTTTCTACTGCACTAGGTACCGTTTTTTTAGTACTTCAGAAAAGTACGAAAAGTTGGGTACTTCAAGGTGTTGGTTTTCCGGTAGCCGGAAACTGGTACCGGTGCTGAGTGACATCACAGCGCAAGGCAGGTATTTTGTGCTGAATTCTAAAAATGACTGTAGTATATTATAAGGCTGGGCAATGTGTGATATTAATACCAACATCACATGTTATCCACATGCAATTCTCACATCAAAAGGACCACATCAGTCGGCTGGGTTGACGTCAGGCTTTCTCATACCTTCATATTGTACCTAAATTATAGTGCAAGGGGTTTCACTAAAAAGCATTTTGACTTTGTCATAGGATACAGAACTTAGCAAGTATTGCAGTTTAAATGATTGTTCCTTTTCAAGAATATCTAGTATATGTTTCATATCAGTATGCAGTTTACTGCTGCTGCATGAATTCTCCAAGCCAATCATAATCACCTAGACAAGTTTGTGAGAATTTTTTTCTGAATTCCTTTTTCGCTTTTTAGATATCACAGTATTTATTACAACAAAATCACATCACAGTATTTGATTTTTTATATATGTTATGCAGCTGTAGTATGTTTCTTGTCTTGCCATCCAGATCTTCTTCTGGTTCTTCTGACCAGATCATGATTAAAGCTTGGGTCTCTTCATTTGTCCATGCAAACATCGTTATTACTTTTTGTTAACTTTATCTGTTTTCTGAGTTTGTAACTCAGATTGCAGTTGCATTGTGTTTCAGAGGCAGGCTATTTGCATGACCAGTCAACAAAAATTGCCCATAGACTAGAACCTTGTCCTCCTTCTACCACTTAAGCCAAAGATCTGCAGCTTTCAGAGATTTATAAATGCAGGGAGGCTGGAGGGTGAATTTGAACATTCCCTTTGTGAAAGACTCATGCATTTTCCTATACATATTAATAAATTATGATCTGACCAAAATCAGTTCAATATTCTTGGAACAGATACACAAATAAAAAAATAAAGTTCCTCTTTTCATTTTGTCCTACAAAAGAACCAACCAAGTAAGCCAAAAAGGCAATGGAGTTTGGACCAAGGGGTATGGGACAGCTCAGTAAAAAAATATATCAACCAACCAAATTATATTAATGATTTTGCAGTTTCTAATGAATTAGTCTTGGTATTAGACCTTTTGAAACAGAAAAATAACATTCAAATAGAAAACAACTGTTATTTAACCCAGCGTTATGTCTGGATTGAAATGCACAGATTAATTTAATAATATTTAGTGATGCAGCTGCTTTGTTTAAAACAGATGTATCTGTAGTTTCTCAGCTGTACGGCAGGAAGTTCTAGTTAACCTTGTCACTTTACTTTTGCTTATAATAACTGTTTGAATTAAGATAAAAAAATATGCTCATTTTCATTTGAACAGGTCATTCCAGGACAGCTCTCTTCATCTGAAATCCAGAGAAAGCACATTTTATCAGATGGCCTACTCTTCTAATGCATACATTGTTATAGCCCCGCCCCCTTCTCCCATTTTTAACGTATGGCCTTTGAAAATGATCCCAAGCAGTCATCATGTTGCCAGGAAATTACAGAACAGATGGGCAACAGAACAGTTTTCTCAAATCCCATAACTAAAAAGTCTCCTTGCAATTCTTTAAAATTACTGTTTATATACTCTACTGTGATGAGGCTGTTCATTAAAGTCAAATGTTTTGAAAGTCCCTTTCTAGTAAATTGCTCATATAAAGCACCTTTGTTTTGATGCACAGCGAAAATACTACAAACCTTTAATGCTATTCATTACCCTCATTGAATCAGTTGAATGTAATAGATGGTGAGCTCATGTGTAGAGTCCCTGCCACTTAGTGAAGTAAATTTGTGAGGCTTGGGAAATTTGTGAATTTCCCAAGCCATCAATGAAAGTCCCCATTTACCACTGACTGCTCTTCAGAGAAACTTTCTGCCAGATATTTTCTCCTGGGCCATAACTGTCTTGGTACCATCAGCAGATTTTTTTAACCTAAAGACAACCAGCCCTAGAGGGAATAAGTCATCAGACCTTCTGTTTCTTTGTCAGGGGGAGCAGGGAGATGATGGCAAGGTTGAAGGCCCTCCTGGTCCTCCGGGTGACAGAGTGAGTGTTTGACTTTCTCCACCCTATTTCAGCTGGGGCTCTGTGGGAAGTGCTGACATCTCGCTCATTTCTGGTCCTCCACGTAGGGCCCTGTTGGAGACAGAGGAGATCGAGGAGAGTCCGGGGACCCAGGTTACCCTGTAAGTCACAGGAGCACCGTGGTGGTATAGTGAAGCAGAGCTTCGGGTTTGTGTGCACGGCGAGTTTTTAAAACTATGTTCTGTGTTTTTGTAGGGCCAGCAAGGTATGGATGGAGAGAGAGGCAAGGCTGGAGCTCCTGGTATGCCTGTGAGTATGAAGCGCTGGGCGGAATGTGTTTGTATGTTGCTTCCGGCATTTAGCAGCACCACTTTGGATCTGGTGCTGTTGTCTGACTTTCTGCATGGTCCCTCTTCCCATCTCACTTTTTTATTATATTATAATGCAAGCCAGTCGCATTCAGCACAGTGGCTCAGCTGATACTATCGGTGCCAGCTGGTGGCATTAGTGCCGTATGGTAATGGGGTTGAATCCAACCGCAGCTGTGTGTATGTTTGTGAGTCGCCCCACATTAAAAAGGGGGCTGCCATTTCCTCCCACAGTTCAGAAACATTTGGATTTAACATTTCACTAGGCCAATTTTGACCGTGTCTCAGTAATTCGATTATTAAACACTATGTGGTTTACTTTAACGGCTTTTATGAGATCGAAAAGCCATGTGCAGTTGACATACAGATGTGTCCCAATGAATTTCTCCAGGGAGATCCTGGACCTCCTGGGCAGCAGGGACCAAAAGGATCCAAAGGCGGTGAAGTAAGTTCTCAGATGTTCGCATGGGGCCAGAGTTCCTCACTCTGACTGCTGCTGCTGCATGATGTTCATGCAAACACCTAATCTGGAGTTAATTTCGAATTTGCACCCATCACAGCGAAACCACATGAATCACAACATGAAGCTGTTTTGGAATATGTTCTGTCAACATATTTTCCAGTGGTACTGGAATGCACATGTCACTCGTTAAGCTATTGAACACATGGAGGAACACGTGTGTGTGTCATGTGTTCCGACGTAGGGGAACAGAGGATCCTCGGTGATCTGGGTGTATGCAGAAGCCTTTAATGGCTTAACAAAAGGCACAGCGTAATCCAAGTATCTGTTGTGTGCTCTCTGTCTGATCCAGGGTCAGAAAGGCAAGCCAGGCCCACAAGGGGTTTCCGGAAGCAGAGGGACACCGGTAAGACCAAGGCTTCAATAACTTGTCCCTACTACGTCTTTCTGTCTTTCATTGCAGTTTTATTGGACCAGCCTATTTTTGGACTCTGTTCCCCAACAGTTCTGGCATTGCGATAGATCTTGTCAATATCTGTGAATATAATTCAGATGCTGTATAATCTCTGACCTGAAAATGAACATGTATTGTTGAGGAAAACACTGTGAGCGAAGTACCACGAATGGATGGAATCACAGGCAAACCTGTGTTTAGGCAGTAAAGCAGGGCAGATGAATGAACAATAGTAACGATGTCATCACGTCAACATGTGGGGAAGCACAAACTATTTCGCGAAAGCTGACGGCCGATGCTTCTGTTTCTGGTTCCCGGCTCAGGGTCCCGTTGGTCCCCCTGGCCCAAGAGGAGTTGTAGGCAGGGAAGGACTGGAAGGCAATCCAGGGATTGATGGAATTCCAGGGAAGGACGGGAGCAAAGGAATGCCAGTAAGAGGACAGCGGACAGCTCCTGGCTTCTGCTTCATTTCACCCACCGTCTGACAGACAGCGACGCTGCTTTGACAGCAAGCCGCCCCACGTAGGCGCTCCTCTCAGTTCTCCTGTCTCTTCGCCGCAGGGCGAGCAGGGGGACGACGGGGACATTGGACTTCCTGGCAGTGCTGGTTACCGTGGCAAAGTGGGCATGCTGGGGTTGCCAGGCGATCAGGGCTCCTTTGGACCAAAGGTGATTATGAATGAGTGCATGGCGTGATACCAGTACAGCAGATGTTACTCTGCACCCAGTTGGCCTTTTCACCAGTTTGATCCACCCGCTCATCCATGTCTAGGCTATTCTTTGTGCGATACCATTTCCCTTACACTTACTGTAATGCGCCTGCAGGGTGAGAGGGGACTTCCTGGCCAAACGGGACCTTCAGGAAAGCGAGGGGCTATAGGAGGAATGGGCCTGCCGGGGAAGCAAGGGGACCAGGGAGCCAAAGGACAGCCTGTAAGCATGCCGGCTGTCACCGGGAGGCCTGCCAAGCATCGGGGAAGCAGCACTGTGCTCTGCTTTCTTTTGGATGACAACAGAGTGTCATTCATTCACTCATTCATTCTTTCATTTTGAATAGACTCTGATTAACATTATTTTCTTACACAAGCTCTATGTGAAAAATCTATAAAAGGGTGACATGCTAACCACACGCTTAGATGGAATCAAGACATTTATCTAGAAATGCGACCTTTTATCCTGGTCAGGGTCACTGGGGGCCTGGAGCCAGCATAGAGCAGAAGGCGGGGGTGCACCCTGCATGGGATGCCAGTCTATCACAGGGCACAGGGCTGGGGTGCACCCTGCATGCGATGCCAGTCTATCGCATGGGATGCCAGTCTATCGCATGGGATGCCAGTCTATCACAGGGCACAGGGCTGGGGTACACCCTGCATGGGATGCCAGTCTATCACAGGGCACGGGGCTGGGGTACACCCTGCATGGGATGCCAGTCTATCACAGGGCACGGGGCTGGGGTACACCCTGCATGGGATGCCAGTCTATCACAGGGCATAAGGCTGGGGTACACCCTGCATGGGATGCCAGTCTATCACAGGGCATAAGGCTGGGGTACACCCTGCATGGGATGCCAGTCTATCGCAGGGCACAGGGCTGGGGTACACCCTGCATGGGATGCCAGTATATTAATGTTAATAAGATTGATAACACTTTACTTATCCCCACCATCATAATGCATTATTTTATTTAATGACTATTTTCTGTTTTCTGTTTTGCAATTCTTTGTTTTCCTTCTCTGTTTTTTATTTAAGGGCGATAGTGGAGACCCTGGATTCCCTGGGATTCTTGGCGTATTTGGCCCAAAGGTACTATCTGCTCTTAATACTAAAGCTATGTTCATATTGTCTCATTTATGGAAGATCTTGTCTGTGTCCCAGTTTAAATTCTGTGACACCCTGTAAACTCCACTGTCCTTCACATTTGCACTATAATGGTTGTAACCGGCTGTGAAAAATGTGTTTCAGTTACCGCAAAACATTTCTCAATAGTGAATACCACGTGCAATTTGCCTTCTACAAAGTGATATGGTTTGTTTACGTTATTAAAACAGTGTCTATGCAAGAGATGGAACAAAAAGATATTAAGTGTACTAAAATGACACAGTCCTAGATGTACATCTTAAAGCATGACATACCCAGCTTCTGTAGACTCCCCTGACAAGTGATGGTGACAGATGAATCTCTCCTCATGTTAAGTGCCGTTTTCCAAATGCTGTCTGTTCTGGAAAAGCTTTGGGTATCTTTCAGCTTATTAATTGGGAACTTAGGATTTTTCGATTGAACACTAAATTAGTTTATGTTTGCTTTCAGTACAGTTGTCACTTATTGCTTTATTATTCTGGTCTGGGGTTATGAAGGTTAACAGATTAAAATGCTCCATTTAGAGAGGTGGTTCAGGTCTTCCATACAGGCATCTGCTGTCCAGAAGCTTAAATAAGCTTCATGTTTATAGTGGAAAATGTTTGTCTCTTGTTTGGTTTATCTTTTGTGCCGAGAGTGATCAGGTCATTCCTAACCCTGGAGACATAACACAAGGGCATTTATGGAGCGTGATTTGAGATGATCGCCTGCTTATCGGCCAGTTCTAGTGCAGCACCATACTGGTGATGGACAGCTTATTTTCGTCGGGTCTGTTCCTCCCAAACAAACCTGTAGTCTAACACCAAACATATTTTCCCATTTGTTGTTTTCAATGTGTCAGCTGCAGAACTGGAAGGAAAGTTCAGGTCCAGAAAGTACAAATCCAGACCAAGGTTTTGTTCCAACCAACCAGTTGAGTATAAAGAGTCATAGTCACAGAGTACTCAAGTGGTTGGTTGAAACAAAACCTTGGTCTGGATTTATACTTTCTGGACCTGAACTTTCCTTCTCTGGCCAGCTGTCCCAGTGCTGTGGCCAACCTTTGCTCTGCCTGACTCGTCCTCGTTAGCTGCTCCTACTGCTGTCTTCTGGCAGATCTGCCATCCTGTATTAGAGTTTTGCTTCCCTGTTCCCTCCTCCAATTAGAAGACAGCTGTGTGCCACCCAGATGACTTTGTCCTTATTAGACTGCTCTGGTGAAATGATTATCACACATATAACAGCGGCGTACCAGCAAATCTAATTTTGCTCAGGGACAAAATGAGAGCTGCAATTAAAAACAGAAGAGGGGAAGCTCTTTATTTAGGTCAGCGTGGAGAACGAGTGATTAAGGGGTGCAGTGAAACATTACACAGACAGGACCATCTTTTTCTTCATTGCTCTGGTACCTGGGCATCTCTGGGTTTTTAATGAAGACACATTTCCCTGCTAGCCTGAAAAGTTCCATTTATTTTGAAATGGTTTTTGTTTGATGGCAAGTTTTTATCCCTGAGGATTAAACAATGTTAGTGTCTACGGTGCCAATGAATTTTAGAATGCCACCCTCAGGGAAAACATTTCTACTTTTCTCTATTTCTTTTATGTTAAAAGACAAAATGAAACTACACAAGGATACAAAATTGAATCCAGGTCAGTGGCTGGCGGCCTTGGCAATCCTGCTTTACTGCAGTGGCCAGCTTTGCTAGGAGACCCAAACTCCTCATCATGCCTCTGTACAAAAATGAGAGCAAGTACTCGCAGAAGCTGTACTGTATACTTTAAGCAATTTCTGACATATTTATTTTATTTATATATAGTTGGTTGGTAGTTCTCCACTAGTAGAAATGAAGGCTCCATATATACATAAAGCAGAATAACAAAACTACTTTGTTACAAAGTGATGGAAGCACACATATTTAATCATGTGATTTTATATAAAAACTTAATGTATCTTTAAAACCTATACTGGATGCGCAATTACGGAAGATGAATGGATGCCCATAAACTAAAATATATCACAGATATATGTCAATAACACCGGCCGACATTAAAAAAAATTTTGTGAGGTGATTCAACAAAATCAAGTGCATGTTCTACAGTTTTTTATGTAGTTTCAGAATATGGCTTCCAATTTGCCGCCACACGTCTGGTTTTGTCACAATTTACAATTAAAGTTCAACATAAATTATAGCAAATGTTACATTAAAGAAACAATTCATAGTGTCTTTGCTGGTCACTTAGCACCACAAAACTGTTACCGGTATGATTTTCTTGTGTATGAAGCATCAGGATTTTGTCTGTACAATAATCAGCCATCATATTTACATTCCAGCGTCCTTGGTATCTTGGTGAAATCTCTCACTTTGCTCCTCACTATACTCACCCAAATTTTCAGGAAAGTAATCAAGGAAATGCTACATCCAAGATCTTGAAAATGACATATCATATCCTTGACGTGAACCTCATAGTCAGATGACTTCTTGTTTCCGAGAAATCCATCAACGACTTCAATGAATTCTTCCCAGGCTTGCCTCTCCACTGTCACCATTTTGGCTGCAAATACACTGTCTTTCAGCAACCTTCTTATCTGTGGTCCATCTTCCGGTACGGAAAGCGGACCACAGTTCTGCATACAAAGGTCGGGCATCAGTGGACCTGGAGCAGCATACCTGTAACTTTATATAACTGCAAGCTGCCTGTAAACCCTGCTGACTAGTTTGCACAAAAAATGAGTCTATGACATTTTACATGACTAGTATCAAAATTACATTATTAGGTATACAATATTTTTGTATATGAAAAAAAGTTAAGTCGAAATTACAGAAAAACCAGATGTGCTGGAGCAAAACTAAATATACTAAAAATGTTTGTTTATGAAGGGTGTTTGAAAAATGTCATTTGATATTATTCACCAAATTTGATGTCGGCTAGTGTAATCAATGTATGCCTATTTTATATTTCTAAAAGGAATCTGCAGTAAGAAATTCTTCTTTTGTTTCCTGGAATATTTACCACATTTAGTATAGGTGGCACTTTTGAACACGAGGAGATATAAACTATTACTGCTTAAATTATTTTTTGTTTGTTTGTTTAGACTATTTTTTGTCATAATAAATTCATGAGAAAGCCTGTCAAAAGAAGCTGGAATGAGAATAGAGAATAACCCTCTCTGTTAAATATAATTTCTATGTCAGTATAACAGTTATTAAAAGGATTACACTAATGTCAAATTACTATTAATATATAAGGGTGTTTTTTTAGTAAATAAAAATAATAAAGAAAATAAAGACAGCTGTGTTCAATGGGCAATCCTGTTTCCTTTTAACAAGTAGCATATACCCTGTGATGAATTAAATGAACTTTTTCAGTGGCCTGCTTAAATATTGCTGAAAAGTGGCATATTTTATTCCAAAATACACTTCTACAGGTATTGGCTTCAGATTTTCATGCCTAAATAAAGTTTTTATTATACAAAACAAAAGAGGTCTACACGCGCAACGGAACGTTTCCCACATCGTGTGGTTGCCTGTTGAGATAAACAGTTGTTCTTCTTCACCTGACTAATGTTGCTATACTGTTTCTAGGGGCCTCCTGGGGACGTGGGACCGGTAGGAATACAGGGACCCAGGGGTCCACAGGGTTTGATGGTGAGCAAGAATGCGTACTTCTGGAAGGGTGCAAAAATGATCTGAGCGGCATGTAGCATGTCAGCTAAAGAATCTCTGTGGATTATGAGCCCTGTTGTTGTAGCTCAACCAGCAGAGCATTGTGTTAACAATATAAAGGTGTAGGGTCATATTTCCATGACGATTTGCATGTGATAAGCCTGGAAAACGATACTACGTACTAGGGTGACCCAATCTTCCTCCTCCATTTTTAGGGGAAGCAAGGTGTCATAGGTCCAACTGGAATAATTGGGCCCAGTGGAACTCCAGTAGGTATCTCACACACATCCATTCAGGTAGCTAATATAGATATATATGTAAATTGTAAATATAATTCTGTTTTTCTTTTAGGGACCTAAGGGAGACAAAGGCAGTCGAGGGGAGATGGTCAGTATATCTATGATTCTGCTGCCTTATCAATAGCAGTAGTGTATAGTGTACTATATTAGCGGATTAAGGGAAGATTTATTGATGGCCTCTGAGTTCAAATATTTGCATCACAGTTTGCATAATTAACATTGGATTACGACAGTAATGCAGGGGTGTTTAAATCTATTGCGTTTTATTCTACTCAACAGGGTGTTCAAGGTCCAAAGGTATGTTTTGTTCCTAATATTATTAACTAATTATGAATTTATTGTTAAGTAAATATGTATTAAATGTTCAAGGGTGATGTATAAAGCACAGGCTTCTTTGGTTAAGGTTATACTATAAATAGATTAGAGAATTATTTAAGGTGGTCTCAATTTACATTATGGATGTTCATTGAAGTATATTTTTATTGTAAATGACTGTAGGGGCCTCCTGGACCACGTGGCCCCCCCGGACCTCCAGTAAGTTCTCTGACCTCCTTAAATGTCCATTATCTGTGCATACAATATGGAAGCTTTTGATTGATATATTAGCCTGTTCCCAATGTGAAAGTCAGTCTTTGTAACGATGGGCTTGCGGTTTGTAAGGATTAGTCGTTAGCCATAAAATAGTTCAGTGACAAAATGACTTTTAGAGCTTGTCACCAAGTCTGTTGCATGAAATGTTTTGTAATCATTGTGTTTTCGTTGATATTAAGGGCCGCCCAGGAGTACCCCTGGCATTCGTAAGTTCCTGTCCTTTATGGCATTCATATCCCTGTTTATATCAGTACAGCTACTGGCTGTTGTATTGTTAGCAGTAGAAAATAGATTTTCTTCCAAATTCATTTAAAATTGCAATTAAAAATGTAAATCAGGGGTGGGCAAACTTATGTGCAAAGGGCTGGTGTGTATGGAGGTTTTTGGGATAACCTGTAGGTCAGCTGTTCAAACCCAGATTGACTCTTCAGCCAATCAGTCCTCTAATTAATAATCTAATTAGTAAATTGCAGCAAAAACCCACACACACAACGGCCCTTTCTGGATAAGATTGCACACCCCTGATGTAAAGCAACATTGCAGGAAATAAAAGCTGTGAAATATGCAATATAGCCAGCTGTAGTCCTGTCTTTCTTTACTCAAGTTTACACAAAGCTTTCCTGCTAATAGAAATATGTACCTAAAAAGATGTAGTACTACAGATAGTACTAAGTACTTTAAATGCATTTAGTAATCAAATCAGACACATTGTTATTGTGATGTTTTGTAATATTATAATATGTGCAGTATGTTTGCATTGTGTCATTTTTATGTTACTCAGGAACATGAAACTCTTGAGGCTGCATTTCAAGTGTTCATCGAAACAAACACTGCACTCAGGAAAGAGGTACGTTTAATGATTGCTGCAGTTACTGTACCTTCTCAAGTTCGGATTTGGGGAGGTGTTCCTATTGCAAGCCGCATCTGGCAAAGAAACTAACAGATGATTTCTTTATGAAAAGATATGACTGCTCATTATCTGTAATTATGTGCTTGGGTTGTACGAAGCTTTGGTAGGGATGAAATTGGGGCCTGTTGAATAAGGGTTATATCAGTCTACAATAGCTGAAAAGGTTGCCTCTACGACACGTAAAGCACTGCGATGTCTGTCTGTTCTCCATCCAGCAAAATCACCAGGGTATGGACCTTCCCATGCTGGACCAGGGAACAGAGATCTTTAAGACCCTCCACTACCTCACTAACCTGGTGCATAGACTGAAGAATCCAGCAGGCACCCACGACAATCCCGCCCGTATCTGTCGAGACCTCAAGGACTGTGAGCAAAGGCAGAACGATGGTGCGTCTGGCTCTCTCTCTAACTGCCCTGCACTATTGCTGTACAGCTCATCTACACAACACAGCTTTAGAGTCCATGTTTGCACATTTTGGGCTGCCTATATGGAACAGAAGACATGTATGCATGCAAAGTGTCTGTTGTTTAATATCTCAGGTACTTACTGGGTGGATCCAAATCTGGGATGTGCCTCAGATGCCATCGAAGTCACCTGCAATTTTACTAGTGGTGGACAGACCTGTTTGAGACCACTGACTGTTTCAAAGGTAGTATTTTTTTTTTGATGAATGAATTGTCCTTAAAAATACAGATGCTCTTTGCTTTACAATGGTTTGACTTATGATATTTTGGTTTCCCGATGTTGCGATAGCAATGCGCATTCAGTAGTCACCAAACTGTGAACTCTGATCCCAGGCCAGCGATACGCCGTACCATACTTTCTACGGATGCCGGGCGATGGCTGAATCCACGTAGCCACATTCCCAGTCTCTGAAGCGATCACGAGCGTAAACATCTCATACAGTGTTTAACACTGTTTTTTTTTTCAAATTCAAATATATACAAATAAACCTGTATTCATTTATTTACTTTCCGATCACTGTCATTTAGTCAGTTGCAGTATTTACTTACTCAGTGACAGTAGTTATTTATTTATTTATCATATCATATTGATATTCTACTTGAGATATTTTCTACCTACATTGGGTTCATCGAAACATATCCCCATCGTAAGTCAAGGAGCACCTGTATATCAGTTTCAACATGCTATCCACATACCATGATGGTCAATCTAACTGCTCATTTACCTGATTTCATTATTCGTGGACATGAAGTTGGAGATCGCTGCGGGCCGAGTCCAGATAAACTTTCTGCACCTGCTGAGTTCTGAGGCCATACAGCACATTACCATCCACTGCCTGAATATGCCAGTGTGGAGATCTGGTGCTTCTGAAGAACCTTCCCAGAATTCTGTGCGTTTTAAGGCTTGGAATGGCCAGACCAATGATGTAGGCGGGGCAGTGAGACCCGAAGTTCTCCAAGACGATTGCTGGGTATGTCTGATTTTCTCCTAAGTGTCCATTTGGGGAAACAAGCAAACAAACAAACAAACAAATAAATAAATCATTTTTTGTGTGAGTGTGTGTTAAAATTTTTTCTGTGTATTTGGTTACATTAGAAATAATTCACAAATTAATTTAAGAAACACAAGGCAAAAAAGTACATTCTGGACTGTTATTCAATCTCATGTAATAACATTACCCTCTGTACCAACAATGTACAGCATGCTGCATATAATTTTTGCCAGGTATTCAACAGAACTGCTTTAACCGAAACTCTTTAAACACCACTTAAAAGAATATTGTGGAGTTCTGGGGTCTTCTAATAGTAACTGGAGTGACTAGTGGCCTGTGCCGTGGGTTGCACTGTTTCCTTGTACCTCTGGGGTTGGGGGTTTTAAATCCCACCGTTGGTTGCATGCTGTTTGGGTTTCCTCCGGATAATCTGGTTCCCTTACACAGGCAGGCACATTGGCGTTTCTGAATTACCCATAATGAGGGAGTGTGGGTGTGTGTGCACCCTGTGACGGACTGGCATGCCGGTCAGGCTGCGCTCTGCCCTGTAATGGACTGGCATGCCGGTCAGGCTGCGCTCTGCCCTGTGACGGACTGGCATGCCGGTCAGGCTGCGCTCTGCCCTGTGATGGACTGGGCAGATTCACCAGGCTCCTCACGGCCCTCTAGTGGCTGAGCAATCAGAAGATGGATGAATGAAGTAGCATTGTCCTTTCTTCTGTTTTCGATATATAAGCCTAAATGGGAAAGCTTAATAGCTATATGGAATCATGCAGCAGCTTGCCCAAACTCCAATACCAGAACGATACCTCCAACCATCTGCGATCTTTATAACAATGTCGCTCTCCCTTTCAGATTAAAGATGGACGCTGGCATCAGACCCGTTTTGCATTCCGTACCCAAGACCCCAATCTGCTCCCCATTGTAAAAGTGTACAATCTGCCAGATACCAAGCCTGGGACACACTACCACCTGGAGGTAGGACCTGTCTGCTTCCTGTAGGAGGCTGTGACAAGGCAGAGCTCCTCTCCCTGGGCCAAGAGGAAGTAGGAGCCCCCCAAGGGAAAAAAAAATCCTCCTTCTGCTTTTCAGCATTCTCTGACACCCCGTCAAGTAGACATGTGGCCCGGGTGATGGGGCACCGGGGCGATTTCTGAGGAATCGGGATTTTCTGAGGAATCGGGATTTCTCGCACATGGGTGGCATTGTGGAAATGAAGTTCATGTGCATTTCAGGAACTTTTCTCTTTTGTTCAGACAAGTCCTGGACGTCACAGATAGTTGGAGGAAAATCTGCCAAATAATCTTTGTTGGACAATATGATAACTTATTTGTATCATGTATTTTAAGTACCAAGGATCTACATCTTATTAAAGAGAGGAATTAAAGTAACTGGGAACAGCTGTACATGTCTGTACATATATAGTTATCCCTATTACAAAACTTTTCACATTTATATCTTGTGTAAAAAAAATCTTCAAGTGCAATAGAAATGAAAGAAGAGTCTTGATATTTTTTTTTTTTGGCAATTATTTTTCTAGGCGATTCAGGGGTACTATTCCATTGATGTATGTGTTGTCCTCCAAGTCTAGCTCTTGTTCCTATCCTTTACATGGAGGTCTAGCAGTATTTGTGTAGACTGGTGAAGTTAATGGCTGCCTGTTTGTGATCTCATTACACATGTACCCACATGGGCCATGGACAGGTAAATTCACCCGTGTCTCTCCATACCTGGTGTGTACTTGCGTGCTTAAAGGCTTGGGAGATGCAGGGACGGATATGTCCTACTAGCTCTTGAGAAGGCATCATCAAAGCATCTAAGGGAGCTTGCTAGCCTGCCCGAGCTAGTCACGCCCCAGGCCTCTCAGCATCCACATCTTCCTGGTGTGGGTCTTTGTCGCAGGACAGCATATGTGGGTCTGGGCAGGTGTCATAGGATCGGTCTACCTCCCAACTCTCATCCATGGTGCTCGGGGAAAATCCTCAATAAATCAAGAAAAAAAAAACACAAAGATGTTAACCTGGTGCTCTTCCACAGCACCAGCTAACATGAAGATGAAGACTGTGGTAGGTTTGTCTTTTGGAGCCAGTTTTTGTACTGAACTATTCAGCAAAAATGGCATTCATTTAAGTGCCTACTGTATTCTAAAGGGAATATTTTTATATAAACATTTAAAAAAAAGAAAAATCATTTCAGTTAACATGTTGCATCCAAACACCTTAGGGTTCGAAAGCATTTTTAAACAACATTATTTCTGTTCTTTTGTACAAATCCCCTTATAGCTGTAATTAATATCTAAAGATATTAGTGAAAATTTAGTTTTCAATAGTAAGCTTTTTTAAAACAAATGTGTATAATTATGCAAGCTTTGTTGTATACAGTGGATCCCTTTCTAATTTAAAGTTATTTAATTGTCAAAATGTTGTAAACCTTACAAGGTTCTCTTTATTAAGGCAAGAGTTCTTTTTTAATAGCTTTATGTATCAGTTTCCCAACTGGTCTTGGAGTTTATAGATTTTTATTTTATGTGTAAATGTGGAGCTCCAGAGAACAAATTTATTTGCAATATTTTTGTTTGTTTGTTTTCCATTGTATTTTTCTATATGATAATCAAACTGTACTGTACGGGGACTGTGTTCTATGCTATTATTATGATTTTTAAAGAAAGGTATTGACGATATGTGAACGTTCCATGTCAAATTCACTAGTTAGTTGAGCTCAGAATACCTCACACTGATACACTCATTTGGGAGGAATTGGTTGCTGTTACGTGTCTTCTTTGTGAATTGACTTCTGTGTCTGTATGTGAAACATCAGCTAAAAAAAACCAAATCATCGCAATCTGAAGAAGCAGAATGATGTCATCGTTTGCCCACATTCGTTACCGCTTTCTCGTATATGCCATTTCCAATACCTGTCTTGCATTAACTATGTTCAGATGTTCAATAAATATTTGAAATCTACACCAGTACTGGAGTGTTTACTACTCTTTCATAAAAATATCACAATTCGATATTTATGTTTTGGTCCTCTGGAGGTTTATAACAGACTTTTATAAATCTGGCAATGCTATTTATCTAGTGGCATTGGATAAAAAAACAATATACAGGAAATTTAAGGGAAGGAAGTTGCATCTTTTGTAAAATAATTATTCCCACTTTGAGAATAATATGTTTTTCATCTACGGTGTAAAATAAAAAAGTGCGACCATGACCAGAGATGACCAGGACCATCGTGACCACATACTGAGGTGCTCAGGAAATCGGCTGGAAGGTGTTTTCATGTCTCTCCTTCTGTCAGCATGGTGGCTACACTAGGGGCTCTGTTTCAGCCTTCCGCTCAGCATGCAAACTTTGTGCACTGCCGCTGTGATGCATGAGGTTCCTCTGAGTAAGTCAGCTTCCTCCCACAGTCCAAAGATGTGCACTTAGGTGACCTGGTGTCCCAGAGTGTGTGAGTGTGTGTGCCCTCTGATAGGCTGGGTGAACTGGTGTTTGGCTTCTTGCCAAAGGTACTGCTCTGTCATTGGCTCCAGGTGGCCCTTCATTTTCAGTCACCTCTTATCCATTAAGATTGCAGTGAAGATAGATGGACGGATTAAAATTCAACATAGTGATTTTTTATTTTTGCATATAAGCATATGAGTGCGTTTTTGAATTCCATTTTTGGATTCTGTGCTCAGAAAAATGTTGCACATTTATCAAAAACATTACATTACTGTAAATGGAAAGATTGGCTGTACAGTATAAAACATGGCAAAACTTCTAAAGGGCTTGAGCAGGGTTTCATTTTGCTTACCAAATCGGTGATATTTTGATGGGATGGAAAGTACCCAAAACTAAGCTGTGAGAGAGTATCATGAGGGTGGCAGGGTAAGGAAAAATATTTGACCTAATATGTCTGACCTTGTCCACAAAGTGGTTGAGAAATATGCAATCGCTGTTAGAACATAAATGCAAATAGTGAAACGAAATAGAGAAGTTTAGCATCAACTGGACTCTCAATCCATAAACGAACTGAGTACAAACATAAATGTATTATGCTTTAACTTGTAGACTTTATTCAATAAAATAGAACTGAACAGGAAAGAAATCGTCTAGACGGGCTACATAAATAACCAGTGTTTGGCTGAGTTGAGTTAGCCTAGTTATCAACATGTCTACGGAAGGCTAAGGCTAAAAAATGAGATGTGCAGTAATTTATCATCAGAAAAGCAGAAGACACACCTCCTCTTAGAAGTTACGGAACTACACGATCCGACCCTGCCTTGCAATCCGCAGACAGACCCTTCTCCTCATTTAGCCAAAGGACGCAATCAGTTATAATAATAATAAATTATTTAATACCTTATGGGTATTTAGCCTATCATCATCTTGGCAACTTTAATTTGGAGCGGGGCCTCACAGGGCAGTGGTTCTTAACCTTTTTTCCACCGCGACCCAATTTTTACCATGTCAGCCCAGTCGCGACATATCGTATCACTGTACTGGTTCAAATAAAAGGTGCTTGCTAGTTTTAAAATGCTTATATTTCCAACACCGTCTCCCGACCGTTTCAGAACTTGCCGCGACCGAAAGATTGAGAATCGCCGACCTAGATGGCGGGGACCGGTGCAGACTGGTGATTATTATTAGGGTAGTAAACGCGTGTATTAATGATTCTAAGATTATTTCGGTTTCTCCTTAACAATTGTCAACAGGATTTCTGCAAAACTCGCTGTTTTTCAAGTATCGAAAATCCAATGTCCTTGTGCAGCGAAGATTGTGACAATAATTAATATCCATCCATTTTCAGAAACCAATTGTCTTATTTAAGATCGCGGAGGATCCGGAGCCTATGGCTATGGGCGAAAGGCAGGGATGCTTTACATAATTTAACATAAAAAAACTGGTTTCAGGCAGTTTTCGAGCCAGGCGGGAAGTTAATGAGGCGTGCTGGGAATTTTAATTCTGATTTGTTTACTGTTACAATGAAAAAGGAAAACACGTTGCCATTAGTTATCAACTATACCATTAAACTTTAAAAAAGAGAAATCATAAAATTATCTTCATGTCGATCAAGTTATGTATCCTGCTGAAAGCTAAACAGCAAAAAATGGCAGGATTGTTCGTAGTCAGAGTCCGATTTTTGTGTATTTCTGGAGGCCAAATCTGGATAACAACCCCTTACAGCACACACGTTATATGGATTCTTTATGAGTACCTTTTAACTTCAGGATTTAAAAAATATATATTATTTTATCAAGCAGATTTTCGCGCTGTCAGATCCCTTACAACAACTCCTTACCATAGCCGACTGAACCTGAACTATCCCATACACGGGCAACATAAAGATGAAGTGCTTCATTTTGCTGCCCCATTTATGGAGACCACTCCCCACCGCAACAAACTGGGAACCACAGGCTGCTACGCGCCACAGACGTAACCTTTTCAAAACCACTTCCAACGTCTGAAAGACATTCTGACAGCCAATCGCCGCGCAGTACTAGATTTTGTGGGCGTGTCCAATCGGCACCACCCGTGGCTTCCAACGTTGCACCGATGGCTACGTCACACATGGTAAAATGGCGGTAGTAGCAATCGCTTTGAATTTTCACCTTATGTTTTAAGCTTTGGAAAACTAACCCCAGGAAATATGCGGTACTAATTATACACGGGTACGGTCTAACTGGTAAACACATAAAATATATCAGCAATGGATTCCGTCGTGGGGGAAGATCCAACTCTACCTATAGACATGAACGGGAGGTAAGCGACAAAGCTTTTTGACACACTCCGTTAGCCAAACACAACGGTTAGGGTAATATAATTGTTACTATAAGGTTTGAATTCCTTCTTCACATTAGTGTTGTAAATGTCTTGTACGTAGGTGTATGTTTAAATCTTAACTGTTGACTTTCGGCTTCTTAAACGGAATAGCTTTACAACGTGGTAGCTATTTAGAGTCCCTGGAAACGGTACAAGGAGATTAACACTTGTTTTGAGGTCCTTTACTTACCTCTTTTAGACAGTGAACATTTAATTTTAGAAAATATTCTTACGTATCAAGTTAAAATACGTGGTTGGGATTTTTTGCGAGCTGTTTAAAAGTCGCTGTGTTAAATGTCCTATTGTATTTTTATTTTTAAAAGTAAGAGTGGGTATATAAATCGAAGCATTACACGGGTTATTAACGAATAACTTGCGTTTATTTGGATAATATTTTTCTAATTCAGAAAATTGACACGAAATGTAGATGCTGTCAAAATCCACGTATGCAGTGAATGGGAAAACAACACTGGACCACAGGCAATGTCATACTCTAAATATAGCTGACTTGTTAAGTTGTGTCGCTGCCAAAGGCTAATAAGTCAGAATAACTGGCTTGTAGCAATTCCCGTTAGTGCTCGTTAGCTCTCTACACCAATTAAATCCTTCGTTTTTTATGTTGAGAACAACTAGCGATGCTCTAAAATTAGCTTGTCTGTACTGCCAGGTAATCAGTTCATCAGGAAGCCGGATGTTCAGCCTGTCATTGTATTAGAAACTGTTCTATCAATTTAAGATTATTGGCTTTGTGCAAATATACACTATTATCTTAACAATAATAATAATGTCAGTCTTCTGTCCTTGACGGATCTAGCTAAACTATTGACGGTTCAGGAGAGAGGTAAGCCTTAGTCGTGAGAGTACGTCTTCCCCATCGTACCTGTAGGTGTAGATAATGATTAGTGATGTCTAGCATGCTGTTTTTGATATTACTGACTTTTAAATTATTTAAGTCACTTACATGCGCCTGTAGTCGCTGATTTCCGCTGATGGGGCGGATTTTGTTGCTTTGTTTAGTTGCCGCTTTAGTTTGGGAAGTATTAAAATTTTAAAACAAGCTAGTTGGCAAGTTTCCGCTTGTTCTTTACTGCCTGTTGAAATATCTGCCTAGTATGTAGTTTTTAAATAGATCCAAACATTTTAAAATATATAACTGTATGTATAACCCTACACATAATGACAAATTTTCCTTTATCTTCTATTTGAAGGATATTCCCTTTCTTTTTTCAAAGCACAAATGTCAGTGAGATGTGTTTGGAGATAAATCTAGCCCCTAACCTATGAATTTAAGAATATGCTGTTGGTATTAAAAGGCTGATCCTCATTGCATTGTCAAGCAGACAGTGGTGGTTCTGTGGCAGGTAATGCTGGGCCGTGAAGACCTTTTAAGAAATTAGTTTAGTATCATTTAACTTTTGACTCTTTTGCAAGTCTATTAAGATGGTTTGTAAATATACACTGGGTGATCAAATCAAATTTCATTACAGTTTTCCTTGCCAAATATTTTATTCACAGCCATTTGTGTGGTTTAGCTGTTCCCTCTCCATTTATACAGCTGGATATTTTAGGTACGGTGCTGAAGGATACAAACAGGACCCTTATTGTATCTGACATCAGTACCTAAGCACCATGCCCTGTAATGAACCTCAGTGTTTTGTACTGAGGAGCCAGATGGCTATTGCTGTACCTCAATGCATTAATGATAAGGGCGGTGTATGTTACCTTATCCTGAAACCTGAGATAATCGGTTCTCTATTAAGTTGTCCTAGATGTTTCTGAAGTCTTCCTCTAAATGGTTTAATGTACAATTGACACTTGGCTAATAATACTTATTCGGTGTGGTGTATGTATTGGCACAATGGCAGCACCATAGCTACCGTTGTGCGATACATGCCTTGTATTTAGGAAAAAACAAATAACGGGACACCTGCAGATGATGTTTTAATGCCTTTTCTTTTTTCTGGTTTTGTTTTGCCCTATTTTATTTAAATTTCACATGTATTCAGTCAGATAGATGCTACATATACATTTTCTGTATGCTGTAACAGGTAATTAACAGCAAGCTGTATTTATCCACAATGTAATTCATTTCACACATGCATAGACATTATATGGTCATGGAAACGTGGCCAGTCAATGTGCTTCCTTAACTGTATTGATGGCTCACATTTGACTGGTGATAACTGTAGCTCATCTGATTGGCCTGGTTAATCAGCTGCAAAGAAATTAAGCATTTTCGGAATGTTGCCTGAAAAGTTGTTCTTTTTTTCCATTCAGTCTTACTTGGGGGGGGGGGGCACTTTTAGAATGTGATATGATGTATAGAAGGGGCAGACATATGATCTGAACATTCTTATTGTTGATATTTTCATGTGGTTGACTTAGGATCTATAGCAGGGGTGGGCAATCTTATCCGCAAAGGGCCAGTATGTATGCAGGTTTTTGGAATAACCTTTAGGTCAGTTGTTCAAACCCAGGTGTGAGGACTCTTCAGCCAATCAATTACGGTTCTCACTTTACGTGTACATATTGGTATGTTCTTTATTTTGACACCGACCCCCAACCATTGGCTGTCACGTTGGGCCTGAACATCCATAAAATTAGCTGCATAACTGCAATGCCCATCCTTTATGTCTCTTGTCCCATGACCTTCCTTCTACCACTGTCCCCCTAATTGCAGTTCCAAAGTGCACTCTGTCTGTTCTAAAAGCTTTCATGTGCTACTTTTTGTCATGCTGTCCAGTTTCTTCTACACATTACAAATGTCATTCTCACTGTACTGATGCCTTTTAGGTCCCCATTGAGAAAGTGAGGTGTGTGGCAAAGTGAAACATATAAACAGCATTGTGCAAATTGTAAAGAGAGAACTTGTCAGCTGCATGATGACCCAGTGTTTCACCAGACACTAAATGTCAGAATGAAATTGGGAAGCTCTAGTTGTGGCTTATCTGTGACCTTGATGGTTCCTGGTATGGAGAAAGGCTGAAACATTGATTTTCTATGTTCAGGCAAAGAGGGCAATTGGAAAACCAACAATCATGGTACCTTCTGGTAAAGCTTGTCAGTGTGCTAAAGGTAATTTGTGTTCTGAGATTTTGTAACAGTCTTTTCAGTTTATTTTTTTTCTTACGTTTTTTTTTTCTTAATTTGTCATTTTGAGCATTTGGAATAGAAAGCCTTGCCTTCCATTGGGGAAACTAGCTTAAGGGCCTCTGAATGGATGGTCAAAAAGCTTTGTCAGGAATGGTCAAGATGCACTAAATTGCGATAATATTCATCAATCTGTGCAGTTGTGCAGAATATTATGTTGCTGGAATTTTTTTGTGTTAATACTGGATTTAATTAAAACATTCTGAATGTAATGATTTTTATTTAGCTGCATTGGTGATCAATAACTAAAAAGTATGTAGTATTAACATTATCATTGTCCCTTTATTTTTAATTGGTAATGAATCAGATATTGCTTGTTTAGTTTGTGTTTCCTGTTAAGCTCCTGCAGTGGATTATGGGTAGAGTGCAGGAAGAGCATTAGGTGAAGCTGTCGTAGAAAAGCGGAAGGAAGTGATCGTTCTTGTGTTTGCGGAGCTAAAAGTCTGAGACAGAGGAGAATAATTTAAAAGTATTGGCGACCTTATTGCTGCTCTTGGCCTTGTGATGCTGAAAGCGCCGTCATGCAAGGGAGGAAGGATCCAAAATGGAGCTGTGCCGTATAGTGACATTGAACTGTGCGAATCTTCCTTGGCTCTCAAAGGCCTTTGATTTATAGAGATCACAATGACTGTTTGTTAAACAGTGACAGCATGCTTAGCCATTCTGCGGGACATTGACAATAAGAATTCAGCTTGTAACGGGTGTGTGAACCTTACAGGAATGTTAAATACTATTCAGAAATGTTTTTTTCTATTCAGTATATGACTTTCCTGAATTTAGTTTACAGTAACATAGTTGACTGAAATGTGTATTTACATATAAGAGGGGGAACTTATTTCAGTGCATTGTTTATTCTGTGGTCAACCAAATGGTAATGAGTTAATTTAAGCAGGTTGAAAGTTAATGACGCAATCATATTGTTTCAGCACTGGCTTGTCCAGACTCGACGAGATGGCAGACGACGGACATCTTCCTGTGGACAGCATGGCAGGTAGAGATGTTTGTCTATCACTAGATTCCGTTTGCCTGTGGTTTAGTAATATACCTGCAATGACGACATGCAGCATTGGCTTAAATCAGACTTTCAGTTTTTAGTTATTAGTTCTCTTTGTATATTGTAAATGTGAATGAAATCATAATGCTTGTCTTTCTATCTAGTCTTGCCGTTTTCTGTTTCCGCTTTTGTGCTGCATTGTCATACAAACCGTGGTTTTATTGTTTTCAAAAGCCAGAAGCATGCCTGTATGAAAAACCAGCTGCTTATTTCTGTACGGCATGTGTCTGAGGTATCCTGAACGGTCCGCTGTCTTGTTGGCAACTGACAGTGAAGCTGTAATAAGCTAAATTAAGAAAAGTTCTTCAGATTAATAAAATCCTCCACCCTTTCAGTTTTCATTCTAGCTTTGTGATAACGTGGATGCATCTAAATTCTGAAATATTATACTACGTGTTTTTAATGTGACTACTTTACATTTAGTGGCTACATGCTTTAACGTGACTGATAAATGAACCACATTTTGCATGGTTGCTGTTCTTTGTTTCAGTTCTTAACTGTCCCTGTATGTATTACTGCAAATGTGGTTCTGGTAGCTTATTAGTTTGGACTTAAATTTATGCCACTTTGTCAGCTCAAGATGGTGTTAGTGTATGTAATTGGAAGTAGTTTCTATGGCTTCTTCAAAGTGTTATGTGGGCAGCACATGTTAAATTTGGGTGATATGGTGTATATCTGTATCATTAATCTTACATTTGGAAGTGTAGTCTGTTCTGAATGTTTCTGCCTAATTCTAATGTACTAAGTAAAGTTAAATAATTAAGCAACGGTGAGTGTCAATGTATGTAACTGAAGAAGGTTTAATTATTTTTTTTATTTCATATTCTCTTTCTTCCTAGAACTCGTGTTTCCAGGAGAGCGAGTGTCGCCAGTTAAAGCTCACACCATGAAAGATTATGAAAATGTAAGTGAATACAAGCCAAAGAAGGTTTTTTTGTCTTTCAAAACTGAAACCAAAAGTTGGTAGTAGTTGTTGGTATGTATTGTTTTTTTGCCAGTTAAAATTGGCCTAACTCCCTTAGACTGGGTAGTAAACAGCTCACCAGTATGCAGAAACCAAACAGTGTTGCGTGACTCACTAAGGAGATATTTCTAAAGAGATTTCTTGCCTTGAATGAATTTATATGGCATATATTATATATTTATATTTATTATATATTATATATTTATTTTGCATAGCATGGTATACTAGTCTTTACCTTTTATTAATTTTTAATAGTTAAATGCGAAGAAGAAAGTTAATCCTGCCTTCACTGAATCAGTTCCTTGTTTGTCATTCTGTGGCATAATAAGCTCACATGCTGCCCTTTAGGTCACATTTATGAGCATGTTCATAGCTTGATTGATGTCTCAGTAGATCCATTTTTCTCCCTTTGTCTGTCACTTTGCTGCATGATGTCAGTCTCAGTTGTGGGTTGGTCTTGTGGAGTGGGGCTGTCACCCAGCAGCCCAGATGTGGCCTCTAAAATCAGCCAGAGAACAATGGTACACAGTCTGCTGCCTCCATCTCCCCTCCTCCACACCAGGCAGCCTCCTGGGCCTGCAATTCATTAGCCTTCCGAGGGAGATGATGCTGAATTACGCAGCACAGGCCTGGGAATGGGACTGGACCGCACTGCACAACACGCGATGTGTTCTCCTGTAATTCGAGCTTCCACGCGGCGTGTACACTCTGGGCTGATGGGAGTTACCGTAGAAAGCCTTCTGCGTGCCAACTCAGCACTAACTCGACCAAATAAAACACACCGTTTTGTTTTTTCAGCAAATCACTAATCTGAAGAAAGAGAACTTCAACCTGAAGCTTCGCATTTACTTTATGGAAGAGCGTGCACAACAGAAATACGACTCTGCCGAGGATGTATACAAGACGGTGACTGGACATTCTCCTGAAATAATTTGCTTTCTGAACTGTATATTGTGCATAACCCATGCAGTGAAAATGCTCCCTCCAATTACTGTGCAAAAGAATAGTAAATTCTATACTTTTTCAGGATAAATTTATTGGTGTGTGTTTCCAATAAAGTTTAATATACTGCACCTATATATATACAAGTTTCCTGAATAAGCCAGGGCACACAAAATCAGCAAATTAACAGGACTAATTGGAGGGTGAAGCAGCAAACAGCCACCTTTGCTGCCAATAGCTTGGTGCACAGCTGAGATGAAAGTTAAGTTAAAATACAAAATCACATCAGACTTGAGACTTGTATGACATGCCACCACTGTCAGAAATAGTCTGACTATCCTCTTTTATCAGCTATTTACAAAAAACATCATTTTCTATTTGAGGTTAGGGAGAGAGGCTTTATATGGATACACATCATCTGTGAATTCTGTATGCCATTGCACCAGAAGACTGTGAAGTTGTACTTCTGATGTCAGAGATTATATGATCATTATGGTTTTTGTCAGAATATTGAGCTGAAGGTGGAGGTGGAGTCACTGAAGCGAGAGCTGTCAGAAAAGCAGGAGCTCCTTGTCTCGGCCTCGTAAGTGCGAAGGGCTTCCATTTCAAACCATTTAAAGTATGCAAGATGTATAATCAGACACCTTGTGGGGAGAATATGATACGTTCACATTATTGCTTAGAGGTCAGTGATGCTTTTTTTTATTTAAAGGAAAGCTGTAGAGAACTTGGCCGGGAAGGAATCGGGGGATATTCTGCGTCTGAAAGAGCAGGCCAGGAGAGAGGCGGAGCGGCTGCGAGACACTTTCAATAAGAAGCTCCAGCAGTTAGAGGAGGTAATCTGTGCTGACTACGGACACAGCTAAACGGTAGCACTGTGGGAAATGGGCTTTGCAATACCTGATATAAAAGGTCTGTCTCTTTCTTTGATGTTGCCCTAGGGCTGGGGTTGAATAATGCACCTTTTCATCTTGTAGGTGTGTGAGGTAGCCTGTGGTAATTAGGCCGCTTTGCTGCCGCGCGCGTCCTCACATCCGGCTCATCAGCTTGTTGTGGATCCTTTCTAACTCAGAGTTTGAAGGCAGCTGAAGAGGAGGCTGAGAAGATGGCAGCTGTCGCAGAGCAGGAGAAGGTGCGAAACATAGACATGGAGAAGCAGATTCTGGCATTCAGCCTGTCCAGCACCTTTACACCTGTCTCCACCCAGGATGCGCACCATGTCCTGCAGGAGAAGGATGGGTAAGACCAGCCACACGAGCGTTTGTGCTATGAAAAAGCCAGAACCGCTTAGCTAGCTGCTAAATGGTGTCTTATCACTACTGGTGTAGATTCTTTTTTTGAAAACCTTATTTTATGGTTCCCATTTCTTTTGTTTGCCATAGTATCATTGAGCAGCTGAAACTGTCCCTGAAGAACCGGGATGCAGAGGTTGCGCAGCTACAGAAGGCCATCGCTGGGGAGAGCAGAGAGAGCCAGCCTGCCTCTGTACACATGAGAGACCTGACTGAAGCCATCGCTCAGAAGGACAAGGAGCTGGAGGTGTGCGTTTGCCCTTCTGCTTTTTAAACGTTTGTACGATTTACAAAAGGTACAGAAGAGCTGAGGAAGCCATTTTGTGCTGCGTTATGGAGTGATGTTTTAAACAAAGGATAGTTTGACATTTTATTTTGACCATGCGTGAAGGACAATCATAAACAAAACACGATAGTTTAAACTGAAGGCTTAATTACTGAGGCCCTGAAACAGTGGGGGTGGCCTACTGTCCAGATCGATTAAATGTGAACACAAATGCAAAGCAAACTGCGAAAATGCATTAAGTCATTTATACTGGCTGTTTACATGGATGCCACATTGACCTGTGGGCATTTCATCACAAAGTACATCTTAAATTGTTTAGTAACTGCAGTGTGGCTTTGCTGCAGCTCATGTTAAACTAACAGAGATGATCCAATTAGTCTTTTTATATAAAATGTGTGTTTTTTTTTTTGCTGGATGCAAAGTATGACCTTTAGTTGAATGTCTTTTGTGATGTGGACTTTTGTTTGGATTGTTGGCTCACAGTGTTTTTTTTTTCTCCTCCAAAGACTCTCAAAGAGGAACTTGGGCGTGAGAAGGTGAAAAATGAAAGAGATCTGCAGGTTAGTTTAAAGGTATTTCATTTGTTAATCTGTGATCCAAAGTGTGTGCTGAAGGGAAATAAATGTCTGTCTGTCAGTGGGGTTGAGGAGGCCAGCAGCTGTGTGATGGGTCAGCTGGGACCCTGGGGGATGGGGCTCGTCTGCAGTGCTGAGGCCGTGTCACTGTTTCTGTAGCGCGTTGGTCTGAGGCCGTGTCACTGTTTCTGCAGCGCGTTGGCCTGAGGCCGTGTCACTGTTTCTGCAGCGCGTTGGTCTGAGGCCGTGTCACTGCCTCTGCAGCGCGTTGGCCTGAGGCCGTGTCACTGTTTCTGCAGCGCTTTGGCCTGAGGCCGTGTCACTGTTTCTGCAGCGCGTTGGTCTGAGGCCGTGTCACTGTTTCTGNTTGGCCTGAGGCCGTGTCACTGTTTCTGCAGCGCGTTGGTCTGAGGCCGTGTCACTGTTTCTGCAGCATGTTGGCCTGAGGCCGTGTCACTGCCTCTGTAGCGCGTTGGTCTGAGGCCGTGTCACTGCCTCTGTAGCGCTTTGGCCTGAGGCCGTGTCACTGTTTCTGCAGCGCGTTGGCCTGAGGCTGTCAGTATCAAGAGCTTTTTAATATCTTTTGCCCTTGTAGCTGCTAAATACACTCATTATTATAAGGTTGTCTGCCTGCTACCTTAGAATCTCCATTGAATAAGTGTTTGGGAAAACAGTTAGGCTAGAATTCTGTGGTGATTGATGGTGCCAATGTGTGTTCGTGCTCATTGAGCCTGTTGGGACCAGTATTATTATCGTAAACTGAAACAAAAACGGACGCTAAATAAAAGAGAATAATCCGTGAACTGAAGTAAAAATGAAAACTACATTTACCAAAAAAAAACTTTAATTAGCAAAAAAGTACCCCCACACCACCAATAATAATAATATATAATAATAAGCCCCAATGTCTTTTTACCTAGTTTATCCACAATATCTCCTCTTTTAAAAGTTGCTTTGCACGTGCTCTGCTAACCGAATTTAATAAATATAAGGATATGCCTATTTTAAACACATTACTTTTGGGTATGACAGTGCACATCTCATTATTTTTTCAGAAATATTACTAATCTGCTTATCAAATTGTGGGTGAAAATATTGTTTGTATAGTGCCAAAAAGCCGCCGTCCATTATCTGCAATAACATATGGTTTGTTGTTACAATAAAATTCTTGAATTTGATTTTTCTGGTGGAAAATTAATTGTTTGATCGAAAATTGTATAACAGTCTATAGATTAATCCATAGAAAAATAGTCGTTAGTGGCAGCCCTACTGTTCAGCTTCTCTTGCATTCGTGTGTTTGTCACTATTTCTTGTGTAATCCCCTTCACAATGACACAACAGTCATCCGAGGAATATCTACTGATAACAAATTTGAAAAACGGAACACATGCAACAACCTCTTTTTCTGTTCAGCATGAACCATGTTTGTTTATATGCTGCCAGAGGCTCTGTGTTCCTCAACTTGGTATAAAAGACAGCTGTGCCCATGTGTGAATGCCTCTGCTTGCCAGGGAGCTGTGTCTCGGAAGCTGTGTTCCTCTGCTCGCTCTGAAAGGAGGCTGTGTTCTTGTGTGCGTGCCTCTGCTGGCCAGGGAGCCATGTTTTGGAACCTGTGTCTCAGATTGAGTAGAAGACATAGCATCTACTCCCCTCATCAAAATCACTGGTGTAAAAGAAAATGAAAGAAGTCATATAAAATGACCCGATGTTACATGCATTTTGAACTTCGGTGTGCCTTCACTTTTATGGTTTTGTCCTAATCTCTGTAATCCTCTTGGACCTTTCAAAGCAGTGTCTGGCAGTGAAATCACTGGGGTGTTTAAGGAGAGATTGTTGTTGAAAACTGCTGGATGTGTCCTTGCTTACAAAAAAATACTGTAGTTGAAGAGAATTTTGTAAGCAGGTTATGTGGAATGAATTATTGAAGTATTTTGAGTGGAGAGGATTGTTGGTGAAACCAGACCTTGTTATGGTAGGAATCCAAAGTCACATTTTTATGCAGTTGTGTAAGTTTTTCAATTGAGGTCAATATGTAAATCATTCAAGTTCCATGAACAAGTTAAAATATCTTAATAAGCAAAACATAACAGATTTTATTACGTTTACTGCAGTGTTTGTGATGGGGAGATGTCAGTGCTTTGACCTACAAAGTCAAAATATTATGGCTGAAGCCAGACATGTGGCGCCATCTGATGGATGACTTACAGCTAAAGGCCATCATCTAGCCGCTTTTGCCAGTGACACGCAGTGGTCGGAAGGGGTGGCTGTGCTGTCACGAGGAGATTACAGGGGTCAGCACTGTAATGCCGAGGATTGGGTACAAGCGTACCTATCAAGCCAGTGCAACGGGATTAACGGATTTAGCGCAGGCCTCGCCCTGCTAGCTGCTCATTCTGCTTCCCACAATGTCTGGGGAGACACTGCTATCGTCCCTTCGGAGATCCCCGCGTGACACTGGGCCCGTAAGCGGGAGGGACCCCTGTCGAGTCTGCGGCAGCCTCCTCCGCGGCAGCCTCTGCCGCTGGATATTCAGCCCCTCGGGAAGGTCGAAGCTGCAGGCGGCGCTGTCCTACGTGCTGGGCTGCGAGGTGGCGCGCGACGGCCGCTGCGAGTTCCTCTGCGGCAAGTGCGCCCGCATGCTGGAGCGTGTGCTCGAGTGCCGCCTGGTCATCGGGCGCCTTCAGGTGGCTCACAGGGCCCAGGAGCAGAAGCTGCAGGTGGAGAAGGAGAACCTGATACGGTGCATCGCCCACTTGTACAGGAAACACAATGAGTGCGTGATGCCGGCTGAAGGGGATGGTGCGCCCACCAAGAGCTCATCCAGGACCAGCACTGAAGCTCAAATCGCTTCAGAGGGGTCAGTTTCAGAGGAGCAGCCCTCGCCTGCAAGAAGCTGTGATGACCAGCTATCCAAGGTTGCGCTGGTATCAGAAACCGAGGCTCCAATAGGAGGCTCCAGCTCAAAGCCGACGCCTCTGCCCACCCAAAGCATGTCCATGGAGCTTGAGCTCAACAAAAGCAGCACGTCAGCCATGTATCAAGAGCGCTCCTCCTCCATTCAGTCTTTAACCTCAGAATGTTCCGAGTCCCGCTCCCTTCCTGGATCATCAGGATCTGCAGTGCAGAAGGCCAAGGGGAACGGCCCCCAACCCGCTCCTCCTGATCCCGGGGCCAGATTCGAGAGAGGGCATCTACAGGGAAGCCCTTTTACTCAGACTTCCATTATCTCCGATGTCCTCAGTCTTCTTCGAAGCATCCCGAGAAGGCCCCTCTTATCACAGCCGAAGAGTAAGATACCCATCCTTACGAGATCCTTCCCCTTGGGACCAGTGTCCGGTACTGCTTCAGCTCGGAGCCAGACGGAAACAGCCAGAAACCTGATGGCTGCAGAATGGGATCTTTTACAAGATCTGACAGATGCATTTAACGATGAGTACACAGTGCTTAAAGCTGAGGTAACCTGATCAAAAGCCCATGTGCTTCACAAGGCTGCATCTGTATTAACATGCGAGCAGTTCTGTGCCTGTGTTTGTCTTTTTATGTCTTTATAGGACCTTATTTCATTTTTACTGTGCTTTTGTTGTTTCTATCAATATTCACATTTATGCTAAATGTCCTTTCAGACCTTTGTGGAAAAACAGAATGACATCGCTAAGATGGAAGCTCTTACCAAGGAGATAACAGATGACCTGAACAGCTCCAGGGCTACCATCAAGAATCTGACCAAGACTCTGGAAGATGGAGAGAATGAAAACAAGGTGCGCCTTGCTGCAGAGAATGACGGGCGATTTGTATAGGCTGACGGTCGCCTCGTCTCATAAGACCCTAAGCGATTGTCTCGTCTGCTTCTCAGATTCTGCATGGGAAGCTAGAGGAAAGCGAGGAGGTGCTGGCCTCAGAGAAGAAGAACGCTGTGAAACGAGACAAAACAATCCAGGGCCTGAGTCTGCTCCTGAAGCAGAAGGACAAGGAGGTGACTGATTGTAGCAAAGCCTGAATAAATACTCTTTGATTCATTTCATCTCCTGACCTGTAGTGATGCCTCACCCTCCTCTGTTGAATAGATGGAGGAGCTCTGTCATGAGATTGAGGACCGTGATGCAGCCTTGGCCAAGGCCCGCGAGGCTGCTCACAAGGCCCAGATCCAGAAATACCAGGCAAGTTTGTTGATGAAGATTAAGTGAATGTGTGGGGCTTTAAAAATGTGGCTTATGATAAGCAATGTGTTTCTTCATGTAGAAAGCTTTCAGACTATATTTAGCACCCAACAACAGATTCTAATAGGGTGATCTGTGTGTGTGCCCCCTCCAGGGTGCAGAGGAGCATCAGAATCTTCTGATGGATAAGCAGGCAGAGCTGGAGAAGCTACAGCTGGAACACCACGGCAAGGTGCTGGAGGCTCAGAAGCTCCAGCGAGCCCTTCGGCTTCGGGAAAAGGATGTGGGGGACATGCAGCAAGCCAAGGAGCAGCTGGAGCAGGAGCTGGAGGAGCTGCAGCAGCTGAAGAAGAAGGGAGACAAAGCTGTCAATGTGGGTGGCTTCCCGTGTCGCCGCGTGCGAGAGGTGCTCTAGAAAACCACCCCAACCATGGATCCTGTTCTGATTTAGGCCAGTCCTGCATATGGAACAACGGGCAGATAACATAGGAAAAATACCTTCCTCATTTTATAAGGGCACCTCTCCTTAAACAGAGCTTTGTGGTTTATTTGTGTTGGACTGGCAGCGAGCATTCGGACCTCGCCGTTTCTGGGCTGATCTGCGTGTTTTCCTTGGCAGGACCTCCAAAACCAGCTGAAGAAGCTGAAGGGGGAGCTGGGGGAGAGAGAGCGCGCCCAGGAGCAGCACTACCAGAGCCTCCTGAACGAGAGCCAGAGGGCACTGCAGGGCCACGAGCTCACCATCCAGCGTCTCACCTGCAGCCTCAGCGACAAGGAGCATCAGCTACAGGTGACATTTAGTAAAGAAACGGCCAGGCTAGCGGGGCTGGCTGAAAATCGGGCCCTCTGGTGACGCCGGTCTCTGACTGCAGGAGTATATGAACATGATCAAAGATCAGGAGCAGAGGCGAAGCCCTGGGGGCGGCGGGGACATGCTGACCAAGCTGCGTGAACGTCTCCGGGAGAAGGAGGCCGCTCTGCAGGTGACCCCTCCCGCCACATCTAGGCGACTTCCCAAGAGGCCGGAGCTTTTGTGGTTAACACATTCTCCAATATAATACCTTTTATTTCATGTTAGCAGTGTATTTATGAAAGTGAAGTCAGTGCCTAATATTAGTTTTGTTATCTTCAGAAATGCAGGTTATGTTGCTTCAGCATGATTTTGTATTTTGAAAGATAGCAGAGACAGAAATTTTAGTTGAGATAAATATGCTTTGTGTATTGTTATGTTCATAAGCGTTATATTTGGTGAAAGTTGGTGAATTAAGTTATTTAGTTTTTTGGCAATATTCCATGGAAGTTTGCCGACATACAGGAGCAATTCGAGGATTTATTTGGGGGAGGCCATACAAGGGGCCATAATGTATACTGAGGGACCAGCCTTATTAGCCAATGATATGTTTTAAATCAGTGAGTGACAGGGGAGGGGACACTGGGGGCCAATAAGCTTTCACCTAGGGCCAGTACCCCTGTGGCTCCGCCCCTATATACACCCCTGTATACATACCTAATTTTTGTGGTTCAGTTGTGTAAAGCCAAGGTCTATTATGTTACCTTTTCTGCAGCAAGCCCTAGATGAAAAGTTTGCTGCCATTGAAGAGAAGGACAATGAGATTCACCAGCTCCACCTGTCTTTGCGTGAAAAGGAACGGGACCTAGAAAGACTGAACAACCTTCTGTCGCACAACGAGGAGACGATTAATGTAGGTTAGGCGCTCAGCGGGCGCCTGCTCTTTCAGCGCTCTCCTCTTTCCTGGCTGGTCTCCCTTGCTGAATCCCTGCTGTCGTTCTCCCCAGAGTTTTGATTCTGTGATTAAGGAAAAGGACGTGGAGCTCCAGCACCTGGCCAACAGCTTCAAAGATCAGCAGAGGGCCAAGCAGGAGATGGAGGAGAACCTTTCTCGCACCCTTCGGGAAAAGGACGCCATCATCTCTCAGCTGCAGCAAGCGCTCGAGGGAAAATCCAAGGATTTGGATGTAAGCTGGGGTGTCTCGCATATTCCATGACAGGATGTGACCAAAGCAGAGCTCCTCTTGACAGACATGCTTCATTCTCAGGAGATGAACCGCGCCCTCCTCAGCAAGACACAGAGTGGCACCGTGTCCGAGCAGCTTGGCCAGCAGCAGAAGGCGGCGGAGGCCTTGCTGGCTGAAGTCATGAAGGACCGAGAGAGATTGGTGTCGGACAACGAGAGTGCTGTGGAGGGACTTCTGAAGACCATCAGCAGCAAAGACCAGCTCCTCAAGGTACTGTGAGATGTTGCCGTCAGCTCTAATCGCTTTTCCCGAGCACAGTCAGAGCCTCGTTTCCGCTGACTGGCAGAGCGTTCTTCCTCCTTTGAAGGATTCTGCCGAGCACTATAAGCGCCTCCTGGCTGAACGTGCCCAGGAAGTGCGAGACCTGAAGGAGCAGCTCGCTGAGAAGCAGCAGCAGCTCTGCGAGGCCGAGAAGCAGAGCTCGGCGATCGCACACGCAAAGTGCCTGGTGACTGCCGAGCTTAGGGGCCTACTGGCCGAAAAGGACACCGTGATAAATGTGAGTGTGTCCACCCCACCAGCCTTTTCCTGTTCGTCTCAAAAATCCGGCCATTATAACAGGTTCTGATGTAAGTATGAAGCTCAAAATGAGCCAGTCTGCACAATGGCTTTCTGTGCCATTGTTTGCAAACATTCACAGGCTTTACTATGCAAAATATCCTAGGCAGCCACATTTTGACTAAACTGTTATAGTTTACAGTTAGTTATGCTATAGCTACTATAATGCTTTTAAAAATAATAAAGATAAGTTGTAGAGAGATGACTATCAAGTATAAAATGGAATGTGCTAGATGTCCTGTCTCATGACGTGATCTTATTTTCTTATGTATTAGAAACTGGTGGAGAGTGGCCAGGAGAGAGAGAAGTTCTTGACAGAGCTGAGACTGACGGAGGTGACGGTGCCACAGGTGGTGGAGCTGAAACGGACCGTTCAGGTGTTACAGGAGCGTCTGCACGAGGAGGAGGGTGAGCATGCCCAGCCGGCGGTGTTTCGGCTGACGGTCAGCCGTGCCGTCCCTTTCCGAGAAGCAGCTGTAACTCGGGGTGGCCGTCCTGCTCGTCCCTCTCGCCGAACAGCTGTGCTTTTGAAGAAAAACGAAGACTCCGAGCCGGGGAAGATTGAACTGATGAAGAGCGCAGTGACTCTGAAGAAGGAGCTGGCACAGCAGACAGAAGCCCTGAACAAAGCCTTGAAGAAAAACAGTGAGCTGCAGGTGACAGTGGGTGCTCTGCCGCACTCTCGGCAGTTTGGGAGGAAAATCAAAACAAGCCTCCAGGATGAATTATAACATTGTTAAACGGCCTTTTGATTTATAGTGCACACTGAGGGGCCACTCGTCTCTTCCAGGTCCAATTGGCTGAGCTGCGGTCCACGCTGGCAGATCTGGAGAGCCGAAGTGAAGCCCAAGCCGCCAACATCGAGTCCCTAACAGCTGTGCTGCAGACAAAGGACGAGATTATCCAGGTGATAATTTACTGCTGGATCTCGACCTGCAGGGGTAATGAGTCTCTCTAAAGGTCTCGAGGATTCACATGCAGTCGAGTCGCTTTCGGGGTTCTCTGGCAAACGACGAAGTACGCTGTGGAGTGTGTGTTGTAAGTGGACGATTATGCAAGAATTCTCCAGTTGGTATTAATGTTGTGCTTTTGCTCTCTGCTGGACTAAAGCAAACGCTTAATAGATCCTTGTCTCCACAAAGATTGGTACAATCTTAGGTGTTTATTTGGACTTTTGTGTCTGCTGGCAGGATCTCCATAAGCATCTCAGAAAGCCAAGGGACTATGAAGTGTCTGATCTCCAGGCTCGGGCAGCTGAACCAAAGGAAGAGAGACCCCTTCCTGGCCTCCCGCAGAGAGAGAGAACCATCATTGGTGGGAACAGCCAGCAGGAGGTACAAATTCAGCATTTTAAACTTTAGGCTTGTGCAGTTTCAAGGTCGGTCTGTTACTGTTGTCGATTGCAGTTGCTGTAAATAACTGGCGTGGTTTTGCCCAGGCCACGCCCGCCCTGTCCTCGGTGCTCTCTGAGCATAAGGCCCTGAACCGGGCCCTGAAGGCTGAACAGCAGCTCTACTCCAGCTTGGTGAGGACCGTTAAAGAATCAGACAGGTACCACAGCACCGCTCTCATACTCGTGTCTGGCCAGACTTTCCCAGATCAGTTTCGCTAGTCGTCTTTAAATGCTCCTAAACCAGTCCAGGATGTTGGTATTATCGCTTCATATTTCCAAGTCAAACCTGCATTATTATACTGCTATATAAATGCATATTTTGTCAAAATTGAGTTACAGCTGAAATCAGGTCTCTAAGGTTTTGTTTTATCTTGCGGCAAAATATCTTATTTGAGTTCTGTTTGGCTTTGAAGAAAACATTTCACCTTTTACCTACCTTCTGCACATACAGAAAAGCTCAGATTCACCGTGGTTACTGTCTTCTGCCTGTGCATGGCAGTATAATTACAGTAATAGTCATTTTATTTGAGAGTGCCATTTATAAATGGTAAATTATCCGGGTCCATGCAGTCCCGTGGAAAGTGCCTGTGAATGAGGCGTGGGTGCAGGTTTCTGTGAGCCCTCTCTCTGCCCCCTGCCCCGTGTGCGACACAGTGCCCAGCGCCTGCACGCCCTGCAGATGGAGCTGGCTGCCGTGCAGCTACTGCGTCAGCAGCTGGAGGAGGGTGTGCAAAACAACGAGGAGCTGCGGCGGGACCTGGAGACAGAGCTGCAGCGCGCCAAGCAGAGAGAAGGTGCGGTATCCGGGGAGTCCCGTGCGTAGGGGCCAGCCGGGGCTCTCTGGCGTCCTCTGCAGGTCGTGTCTGCTTCACCAGCTGATTACACCCTCGTCTTCCATCACAGTGTGCACCACTGTATACTGCTTCCGGTTTTGTGTGTCTCTCTAGTATTCCAATTTTCCAGCAGTTTCCGACAGTCTGCTGTGTTTCCTCTAAAACGCTGCATGTTCTCGTCTTTCCACTGTTCAGTTCTTTGAGTTGTGTGCAGATTCTTCCACAGCCGTCAGCATGTCTGTTCTTCAGGTCATTGTCTCCTGCTTCTCGGCAGTCATGCTGAAGAGGCCATGATAGATTCATTCTTTGTTTCCTGCCATATCATCTGTCGTTTGTCCTGCCTGCTTCATGCATGCCTGTGTTTTGTTTCTTGCTGCCTCTTTGTTTTGCAGGCCTTCATTCCCTTTTGTAAAATAAAGGTTTCTAAAAACAAGGCTGATGTGGAATAAAGCATGCCGTCTGTCTGTGTGTCTTACCAATCATCTTCCTCATCATTTGCATCTCCATTATCAAAGCCTCCTCATTTCTCATTTCCTGTAAAATACAACAGCATAACATCACAGTGCTGTTCCAAGAGTCCTCGTAACCAAGCTCAAGCAAACCGTTCCATTCCAAGTATCATTATAAACCTGACTTAAACTGCAAAACCTTTCCATAATGAAAGAAAATAAGCTTAGTATACTGAAAAATCACTGTTACTTATGAAGATGTACTTGGTGTGACGTCATTTTTATTTTTAAAAATAAGGCTGCAGCCGTCTGGCCTCATGCATGCTCAAGCATTGCCCCCTATGAGCATATAGGTTGCACATATTCTATAAAATGCGACTTGTTCCCTGCAGAGGCTGCGGGTAGATCCTGCCAGTTAATTCCAGTGCCTGTAATCCTGTCAGGGTTTCTGTCACTCAGTGCCCTTTCCTCACCTCTTCCCAGGGAGGCGTATAAATAGCTAAATATCTGGATGTACTTCACTGGCTATTTATACTGCTGGTAGTCAGGAGTGGCTTGAGTGATCACATGACAACAATCAGTTTAGTATATTTCGGTCCTTTTTCATTCAACGACACCTTTCCAGTTTCAAGAGAAATCCAAGCTCAGTGCTGAATTTATTCCAAAGCACGAGTTTATCTGCATGTGTACATTGTGATTTAATTATTCTGTTTTAAAGCTGTGTGATTAAATTAGCCTTCCAACATTCATATCCCCATTTAGCTATATGCAACAGCAGGTAGAATTTTACATGGGCTCTGACCGTTACTTGCATGATAGTTGGTTTTACTTAGGAATGCGTTATGGAGCTACAATGTGTACTCATTTCTGCACTGTTTTGTGTGATTGAGGGTTTATTGTTATTATTATCAAATTAAGCATTACAGCTTTGTCAATTCACATGCTCTGTATTCTCTGGCTCTTACGATCATAAATAAATAGTTTTTGGAGATACACTTGCAAATAAACTAACCCATTCTGAAGGCATCCCTGCAGTATAAGTGTGAACTGAACTTTCTGTTATCATGGCTGTTTGCTGTATTTCTGATTGAGTTTGTGCTCTACTGCTGCCCTGTGTGGGTCTTCAGGGAGTGAGTCTCAGGCAGAACCAGTCGACCCTAAGGAACTGGAGAGTGTGAGACAGCAGCTGGAAGATGCGCAGCGATGGAATGTGTCCCTGCAGGCCCGCCTTGGTGCCATCCAGAGTCGCGGCGGCGGGGTGGGCGGCACCAGCGACACCGGTAAGGTGTTTCCCAGAATGCATTCTGTTGTAGCGCATTCTTCTTAGTTGTGACCCAATAAACTTGATTTGATTGATTTGTTTAATTGGTTCTTTTTTAGCTGACACTTTTAGCTTTTTGGCCGATCAGACATCCTACTTGAGCATCTGTGTGGAAGACAAACTAGATGAGGAACTGGGCCATCTTTCAGTGCCAGAACTCCGACAAATGGTGCGTCACCCAAGTCATTCATCAAATGACTTCATCGTCGTTACATTTTCCCAGTCATTAATTGTCTTTTTTTTTTTTTTTACGCTGAGCATTGAGGTCAAGGCTAATTTATATATTTCCATTTTCTCAGATCCTCGAACTCAGGGATTATATCAAACGACTGCAAGCATCAAATGAAGATCATCACAAAAAGGCCTCACTACTCAGCAGAGCAGATGCCAAACCTGATGAAAAGGAAGATGAAGATGTTTCTCAGCTTGCCTATGAGAATAAGGTTCTGTCTGAGATCGGATCAGTTTTGGTCACTTAAATTTCTGTTCAATTCTGTCAGTAACAATTGTGTCTTTCACTTCAGTGCAACATCTGTTAACTAATCCCTGTTCTCTTATCTTTTTGTTCCATTAAACAGATTTATGGTTTCTGTTGCATTATGCACATGTCATGCAGCTTTTCTCGTGAGGTGTTTATGAATTGCATTCCATCACTGCCTTTTCTTTTACAAAGCCATGTGTGTCACGCTCCATTCCATTACTGTAGCATCTCGAGAAGAATCTAGATGGAGTTGCTCGCATTAGCAAGACCTCTACGCTTAGTAAGGAGCATCGGCAGGCTGCTTGGGATCCGGTGAGTGAATGTGGAGGCATTTAATGTGAAATGTATGATGCTGATGAGTTGGTATTAAGTGGCATGAATGTAGCTGATAATGTTTTCTTTTTCTACTGGAAAATTTTCAGTCGAGCGATGAGCACGGCCAGTCTTCTGATGGAGACGGGTCTAAGGAAGGATCGGTAGCAGAGCATCAAAGTAGCGGGGTTTCCCAGGCCCAAAGCAAGGGAGGGCAGCTTAACAATGCCGCTAAAAGTAAGCGTGACAGGCACCAGGAGGGTCTGAGCAGGGATGTGGAGCTCCTGTCACTCCTCAAGGAGAGAAGACTGTCGTCTGTGACTCAGCTCAGGTGAGACAGGGCCGTGAACAGCCTGTTCTCTTCTGTTTGAACACTGGACAGCCGTAGCCATGGTGAGATTAATGCATTATGTAGGCGATATGAGTGTATCGGGAATATTCATGGGGTTGTAGTACGATCTAATAGAACATTAAATCTGAAAGATTGGTATGATCAAGAAAGCAAGGAGAAAAATCAATCATCAGAGACATACGTTTTCAAAAATATATTGGTTATTGAGAGGGAAATGTTTACAGGTATTTTAAAGTAAGATTTATAACCTAATTTGAACATTAGATATATGATTGAAATTGCTTTGTGCTTCAGGGAGGAAATTTTGAGACTGCAAGCTGAGAATGCTGCTTTGAGGGGGCTCCTGAAGAAGGAGCAGTCTGAGGAGTCCAAAGAAAGCGCAGACGGCTCAGGAGAAAGTGACAGCAAGAGAGATCTTCAGAAAATGGTGGAAAAGATGAAGTCTGAGGCAGTGAGCCAACGCAAGATAATAAAAGTGCTTAAGGATCAGCTGGAGCTCAACTCTGCTACCGAGGGTGTGGCCACCTTTAACCCGGATCTGATAGTGAACATGGCGAGAGAGATTGAGCGGCTGAAAGCAGAGCTGGGATCCTCCAAGAGGAGAGCTGGGAGCCTGCAGAAGGAGGCGCACCAAAAGGTATCCCAGCCAGTAATCTCCAACTCAAAGGAGGCCACTGTCAGTCCAGCTCAGCACAAAGCGTTGAGACCTGCTGTGAGTATGTCACCTCCATACAACCCTGTTCTGATATGAATCTGTGACTGAACATTGTTATTAATTATAGCTCTTTATTTGATAGGCTGGAAAATCACGCCTCCCTGTTCCCATAAGGCATGATAAGGTGGTCCTTAAAAGACCTGCTGGCAGTCAAGCTACTGATATAGAGCTGCAGTCCTTAACAGAGGAGGTCCTTGAGATGGAGAAAAAAGGTCTTGGGCAGCCTGAGTCTTGGGCTTCTGAACAGGAAGAATCCACACTGAGGCCAGACTGCCCGGGGTCCGCAGAAGACATCCAGAAGGTTGGAGGCTTTACAGCCAAGCAGATGACAGGCACTGAACTCCTCAGTGAGTTAGAGTTACTCCACTACGAATGTCAGGAGAAAGAACGTGTGATTGGCCTGCTCCAGGAGAAGGCTGCAAAGTGTGAGGAGTTACAGGCAACGCTCTTGGAGAAAGATGAGCTGAACAGAGAGTTTGTTGAAGCCTTACAAGCTGCAGAATCCACCATAGAGTATCTTACTGCCTGTAACATGGATAAGGAAGGAAAAAATGACCATGTTCTTCAGTCTGACCCCCACAGCCACTACTGGGAGCTTCAGAGAATGCTTCAGGAAAAGGAGGCACTGAACAAGCAGCTGTTGGATTGCCTTCATGTCGCAGAGTCTGCCCTAGCCTCTCTGAGTGCTTTCCCAGCAGGCAGGGCTAGTGCAGACACACAGATCCGCTGCAGTGATCCCCAAGGGTTGCTGCACAAGCTTGAGAATGTTCTTCAGCAGATCGGTGTGTCTGTGGATCAGTCGAAGCCTGGGGCAGTAGATCCTCAGGACTCGGCCTCAGATTTGCAGCGGCAGATTGATGAGCTGCAGGAGGCGCTGTGGGAACGGGATCGGCGAAACGCCGAGCTGCAGGATAGACTCGCTGCATCGGGACGGGTAGCCATACCAGGGCGCACCAGCAGTGGTACTACTGAGCAAGACTTGTTAGATAGTGACTCAGCCACATACAGACAACTGACGGATGTTAAAAAGCTTTCAGAGCAACAGCAGCGAGAGGCTCAGGGGGGGCAGATTAAAATGGACAAGTGCTCAAAATGTGGGACACAAAACCAGCATATTGAAAAGCCCTCTAAGCACCATGAAAAGCAAGATCAAATAATAAGGCAGCTTGCAGAATGCCTTTTCACTGCTGGGTCAGCCTTGGCCTCACTCAATGCTTGCTACACTCATGGTAACTCCACAGAGAAGCCAGTTAGTAAAGAGAGCCTTCAGCAGGAGCTACAAAGACTTCAAAAAGTTTTTCAAGACAAGGCTGAGTGGCAAGAACATTATCTAGAATACTGTACTCAAAAGCTGAGAACAGCTTACAGTGAGGGCCACCACATGGACTTGTATCAGAACATTAGCAGTCTACAGCAGGCTCTCACAGGAAGTGCTCAGGTGATCTCAGACCTTCGGAAAGCCCTAGAAAAGCTCAAGACGCAAAATAAGCAGTATCAGAATGAGCTGAGAATAGGCAAATCAAGTCCAAAATCCACAGATCTTCCAGAGAAGCTGGAAAACCTGCAGAAGGCACTTGGAGAAAGAGAACGCACGTGCAAAGAACTTGAGGAGAAGCTGGCCGCTGCTCAAGAGATCATCGCTATGCAGAAGTCCATCCAGGAGAAACAAGTTGGAAACCAAAAAGGTAGGAAGATCAATTTAAAAGCGGTACAGCTTAACATTATTTTATGGACCGTCAGCAGAAATGTCTCTACTGACTTCAGTACACTTCAGTGAATATCAGATTCCTGTCCATTAATAAGGTTTTAGATTTTAGAAAAAATAGTACTCTGTATGTATTGACATGCTCAAAGGATATACTGTGAAGATATATTGATATAAATATTTATTATTTTATCATATTTTATGTATTTGTGGTTAAAGAATGTGGTAGACTGCTCCATTCTAAAGCTATCCATGACTCCTGAATAATTATCCAGCATAATATTCAGTTAGTTTTTTTGAGCACTCCTTTCGGAGATCCTGAATTGTGATGACCTTAATACTGCCTCCATGTTTTGTTTTGTTTTATTTGTAGTGTTATTTTTGTTTTTTAGAATAGAAATTCTAAGGGGAGAACCTGAAACTTATGTGCTGAATTGGTATGACGTTCTGATCTAAGAAGTAGCAAATGGAGAAACATTTTCCTGAAATGGGCGGCTGGAAGAGGCGTATTGGTCTCATACACCATAGCCATGGGTTCACCATGGGGGGGGGGGAAACTGTTTTCGGAAAGAGTGATTACGACTTTGCTGATTATGCTTTTTTCTTAAGTTGGTACACGCACATTGTAATTTGAATGAGTTCATCACATCGTTCAGGAAAAAAAAGCTTATGTTTATAAGAAGTGAGCAAAGAAGACTTTAAATAAACCATGATGTAAACGTTTGAAAGTCTGAGCATGTAAGAAGTGCGGCGAGATGCATCTTCAGCCTTCAACTGAACGAGTTCCGCTAACCTCCATGTGTCGCCCGTAGCGATGGCTCTAGGACAAGATGACAAAGAGGTACAGGTGGATTTACAGGACCTGGGTTACGAAACGAGTGGAAAGAGTGAAAACGAAATGGATAGGGAAGAGAACAGTAGCTCAGGTAGACAGCATGCTTGCTGCATGTTAACTAATCCACAATTTTAGTCCTTGGCATGACATCGACCACCGGGCTTTTGCTGCCAATTAACTCTGCAGTGCAGTTCTTGCCATGAGACTGTTGAGATACGGTTCTTGTATAACTTAACTGCACCTGTTGAATTGCGGTGTTCATTTATTTGAACCTTTCTCATCTGTATTCCTGCATGCTTGATCCCCAGTCTTTGGCATGGCCCTGCCTATGATCCCCTTTACATTCTAATTCTCTTTGCAAAAAGGTCTAGAATTTTCTCTGTACTACTGAAATTGTATCACCACTGTGTTTTTATTCAGGTACTGTAGACAATGATCAGGACGTGCATCATACCAGAGGTACAAGCATCCCATCACTGCTTGGGCAGATCCATGGTAACTTCTCCTCCATGGAGAACCTCAACACAAGCTCTAGTACATCATACCCAAGCTCACCTACCCTCAGTTCCCCAAAGTTCAGCTTGAAGAACTTGCAGATGTTCGAAGACTACGGCGTTACAGACAACCCGGAGCACCTGAAGCAGCAAGTTCTGGAGCTGAAAGGGCAGCTGGAAACCCATCAGAGAGTCAGTCAGCATCTGCAGAGTCTCCTGCATCGAACCTCCCAATCAAGCGATCTCCTGGCTTTCGTGTCCGACTACACGGCCTTTGAAAAACACAGCCAAGAGCTGACCAAGGAGGAGAGACACAGTATTGGTTATGAAGAGGACCTCTCTTCTGAGGGCACGATCCTGAGCCAAGATGAAGACGAGAAGCAGATGATGGAGCATATCACCAACCTTAGCACTGAGCTGGAGAAAGAGAGGAACCGCAACAAGAATTTGGCAGAACAGCTGCAACAAATTCAGTTTCGAAGTAGATCAGCTTCACCAGCACGGTAAATTACTCGCATGTTCGCAGCTTTACTAAAAAAAAAAAAAAGCACATCATAAATGGGAAGCTCCAAAACTATAAGGCCCTTAGATGTTTGTGTAATCTTCCACCTAGAACGTCTACTTTGTCTCTGTGGTTGACTTGTGATATTAACTTCAACAAGTTAATTTACAGTTTTTCTCAGTCGCTTTGGTATATTTTTTAGATCAGAAATGAAATTCTCATAACTACTTGCCCAACCTCCACATCAAGTCACTTGTGCACATCATAAATGCAAAGTCTCATTCTTTTGGTCAAATTGCAAATGTCTTGCAAATTTTTATGTACGATCATTTGCTAATTCCTACAGTGTCAATCGTTTATGACATGTTAGTCAAAATGTATTGTGCTGGTACTCTGAATAGTCTTACCCTCAAAAACATCTAGGTATAAGTTCTTTGTACAAGTCATTACATGCGTGATTGAAGCAGTTGTCATAATCATTCAAGCATATTCTCTATATATTTCTATTATAGTTTTTTTATTTTTTTATAAAAAAAACTGATTAATTGCTTTCCGGGAAATCTTGACCCCCCACTGGAAGGGAATGTTTAAAGCATTAGACCAGTGATCAACCAGTTCTCTACAATAGCTCAGAGGTGCATTTCATTACCCTGCAGTTGGCAAACATATTTTAACAGAGCAAAACACAATGTTACAATTTCACAGTGGAAGAACAACTAGGAAATGAACAGGGGGGAAAAAACAGGGACAAAAGCCAATAAAAATGACAGGAGTGAGGCTGCATGGTGGAAAGGCAGGGAGGCAAAACAGAGGAAGAGGTAGAAGAGGCCGAGAACAGAGGCGCGTTCCTGAGGAAATACTGTAAGGGCCGCAGTCGTGGCCTTTATGGTCGAGGCCGGTCAAAGACTGCAGCCAATCTCGGGAGAACTACGGTGTCCTCAGTCATTCTCATAGGGACGGCAGGCATGTAGACCAGCAATGTGCACTGTGCTGTATGCTTTCTGCAGTGCTTAATATTACAGCACTCCACTTGCATTTTGTAGTATACAGTAAATACACTTTATATGATACACTATATGTATACTGTAGCACACGCACGTATGCATGCTTACAGTGTGTACAAGTGTATATCAATGTGTGTTACAGTATGCGTAACTTTGTACTGTTGAAATTGATATGTCATACAGAAAAAGTACACCTTTGTGCATTTTCAGTCATTATCATTAAAACCTTAGCCATAGTTTACGTTGGAAAGTTCAGAGTGCACTGTTACATTGACAACATGGCTAAGCATTTTAACCGTCTTGATGATGAACAATGACACGGGCTTGTCGTTCTGGTGGCACTGACAAGTTCATTGACATAAATATTTACTTTTGAGGGATAACCTAAGGATTTTGAGAAAGTTACAGGCTTTTGCAGGTAATCAGTTCATCGTGTGTTTCTGTTTGTACAAATTGTTTCAAGAAATGCACTTTTTCAAATGTTAAGGATGAATCGAGAAATCTGACCAAAGTGACTGAGGAAAAACTGTAACATTCTGCATTCTGACCCTCACCCTTGTTTTACTTTATTATATACAGTTTATTGTGTACAGTTTTAATATATGATTTTGTCTGCTTTTAAGATGTTTCTTGGTTTCTAGAAATTTGATCGGGCATCTTTGAAGTGAATCGAAAGTATTAGAACAATACTGTTAAATATATAAGTATATAAGTATTTAAATAAGTTGAAAAGGATCTGCTGAGAAAATCGTGTTGTTTTCAAAATGTAATTTTGGTAATTGTTACCTATGGTTTGAAGGTTGGTTGTTTTGTTTGTGGATTTTTGGTTTAGATGTGATTGGTTGTCCCGTAGATCCGGGTTCCCTCACCTTATTCAGCTCACCGCCTTACTGCCACGTTTAGTAGGTGTGTTTGAGCAGGGGAATCTGCCTTGAAATGGGGCGGTAGTTTTCGTCCTTTGGGGGTCCTTCAGCGTGCTGGCCTGTCTGGCCCACATGGGCTCATGGGTGCTCTGGTGTCGCCTCTGGCGTTTCCTGCAGGATAGACTCGCTGGTGCAGTCTCAGGCCAGGGAGCTGTCCCAGCTCCGGCAGCAGATCAAGGAGAGCCGGGAACTTGGCGCACTGCAGCGCCTGCAGCTGGAGGAGCTCGGCAGGGCGTTCGAGGAGCTGCTCCAGGCCGGCGATGTAGACCACCACACGGGAGACGTCGTCCGCGAGCAGCTGGACAAGAGCCTGACCGTGCTGGAGAAGCTAGAGGAACGGCTAGAGAACGGTGCGCTCTTCCCAGGCGGTCAGCTTTACGCTCCCCTTAGCGTTTTCTGGTAACGTTCTATTTGGCAGATTATTAAACAAGGACAGCAACAGCTGTTTCCTTCTGATGACCTCCAGAAATTAACACCTGTGGGTCACATGCAAGCGATGCTATTACCAGAGGAGTTTCCCATGGTGCTTAGCACCAAATCGATTACACCATCTATGTAATTACCCTTCAAGCTCAGGGAGAAGGGTAATGAGCTGAAACTGATTGAGAAAGACAAGGCTTTCATAGTCAATCTTCTGTACTGTCTTGTAGGAGACAAACATTTGGATAACGAAGATAGAGCTGTTCTTGACCTGGCACAGAGGTGGGACTTTGACTTTTTGATGTTCCCTGTCCTGTACAATTGTTTCTGACTCCATCTCTCTTTCACTGTACCCCTTTATGTTAAAGCACAAAGCTCCCTCCCTCTCTCCCTCCCTCCCTCCCTCCCTCTCTCTCCCTCCCCCCCCACTTTCATTCTGCCAGCACTGTACCACTTTCTCCTCTGAAGATTTTTTATTAATGCTTAATGTTGTTTAAGAGCAGGACAACAAAGTGGCTTTTAGTGTCGTAATTTTTTTATTTCCAATGTTAAGAATAACATTTAGCAGATGTTAGAGAGCTGTTAATGTGTAACATGAACATCAGGCAGTGCAAGTACAGGTGCAGGCTTTTGTGCTTTGGGGAATTAAAAAAAACCTGTGGTTGCATTTTGTAACAGTTCTATATTTAATCAATAGCTAGAGGGGAGGCCATTTAAATATAGTGGTTCAATGAGTTTAAGTTTTGAAAGTGGTTGAAACTTTTTGGATTTACTCGTAAACTAAATTAATTGATGATATGCGGTGGCAAACACTATCCATATGGGTCCATTACTTTTTGAGATGTACAAATAATATGCTATTATACTCGTAATTAATCATGAACTAGCTGTTACTTAATGTATTAATTAACCAGAAACTATATTTGTTCATGGTTTGTACTTGAGTAGTAACTGAGCTACTACTAAGTAACCGTACTTTAAAATGCTACCGCGCCCGGCACCAGCTGTCACTTTGTCACCTAGCATCCAGTGCTGGGCTACCCAGTGATCTCCAGGGTGCAGAGTGTCTGAAGCAGAACTTTATCACACCGTTTCTCTTCAGAGAGAGACAGGCTGGGTAACACTTTACAGTACAGTTCCTTAGTAACTTACTAGGACCACGGTTACTAATCAAGTTCAAATCATGAACAAAAGTATTTTGTTGTTATTTAATGCATTAAGTAAGAGTCCATGGTTAAGAGTATATTTTCATGCCCCTTCAAATATTGTGTTACCCCCATATGAAATGCAGGGCACCAGGTTTGTTCCATTCAGGTTTTTTTTTCTGGTTGTGCTTTTTGTCCCTTCTTGGACATTGTATTTGTAGTGTTTTTAGAATAGGAATTTCAATTTCTATGGCGCCATTCAAAGGGTTCTGTGAACTTGCAGAGAGCCCCCCTGTCTCTCACGTGACGGCTTCGATAGCTCCCTGCGATCACAGTTAGAGGGTGAAAGGGAGCAGCTGCAGCAGCAGATGAGATATCTTGTGCAGCAGAACCAGAACTTAGCAGAAGTCACTAAGGAACAGCTGGATCTGTGAGTCTTGTGTCTTGGGATTGGCGCTGGAGTGAGAGCATGCTTGTGCTGCCTGCTTTTGTTTAGTCTGTCTTTGCAGTTTGCCAGATGCTCATTTTTTAGTTTACTGGTATCTAGTGACTGTAGGAAAAATGTAGTAGCGTGCAGCAAAGCTATTACTTATCTGGTTGGTGCTCAGAGTGCTAATGTTGTTATTGGCACATTATTTGCTCTGTAAATCTTGGCGAATGAGCCGTCTAGGCTTGTCAGTAAAAATGTCCAACCAAAGCGGCTTTCTAGAATAATGTTGTGCTTACCTAATGACCATAATGAATGAAAAGGAGAGTCATTTTAACTCTTGATGGAAACATTAAACCAATTATAAGAAAGCACACATTAATTATACCTTTAGAACATAAGAACATAAGAAATTTACAAACGAGAGGAGGCCATTTGGCCCATCAAGCTTGTTTGGGGAGAACTTAACTAATAGCTCAGAGTTGTTAAAATCTTATCTGGCTCTGATTTAAAGGAACCCAGGGTTTTAGCTTCTACTACACTAGCAGGAAGACTATTCCATACTCTAACTACACGCTGTGTAAAGAAGTCTTTTCTGAAATTTAGTTTAAAATGTTCTCCCACTAATTTCCACCTATGGCCACGAGTTCTAGTATTTAAACTAATATTAAAGTAGCCATTTGGCTGAACAGCATCCAGACCCGTTAAAATCTTATGGACCTGGATCATGTCCCCCCTTAGTCTCCTTTGCTCAAGGCTAAACAGATTCAGCTCAGCTAACCACTCCTCATAAGACATTCCTCTAAGACCAGGAATCATTCTCGTAGCCTTCCGTTGCACCTTTTCTAAGGCAGCAATGTCCTTCTTAAGGTATGGTGACCAAACCTGCACACAATATTCTAGGTGGGGTCCATTAGAAACAGTTCCTGATTCAGTAACATGATTTGTCAGAGCAGAATTTTAATCTTGTATGCATAAGTTCAGCAAGGAAGGACTGGCATGCAGAGAACAAAGGGAATACAGACATGGAGTCTCGATTTAAAGTATTTCTATTTCCTACATTACAGGGCCGATACAGACTATGGGAAGAATGTCATAGTTAGGTGCATCGATATAGTAACTCATACACAGAGTCACCCAACCTGCCCTGCTCCTTTTTTCACTGATGAAAGTCCAGCATGGACTGAAACATCTGCACATTGGCTAATTATGCACTTTGCTCTTCCATAGTCTGTATCAGCCCTGTAATGTAGGAAATGTCAGCTCAGGTGTTAATTATTTAACATCGCTCTGACCAGGGGCCATTCTAGGATGTGACCCCTGGGGGGGCTCAGCCCTCAAGAAGAGGATTTAGAATAATAATATCAGAGTAATGAGACAAATTATAAGGGTGGCCAAAGCCTGAAGTCGCCTGTGTCTCTGACATTGCCCTGGTGTCTTCATGGCAGTCCCCCGTCCCCCGTCCCCCGTCCCGTGCAGATCCCCCCTCTGACGCGCTGAATCTGTGCCGCAGGCTGTCCCGGGAGCTACATGACAAAAAGCATCAGATCCAAGACCTGCAGAGTCAGCTGCGAGGCCGTTCCCCCAGCAGCCACCACAGCTCCGCGCCCGAGCTGTCCACCAGGGGCTCCCCCAGCGACAGGCCGCCGCCCTGTGGTGATGGGCCTCCCTATGGTGATGGGCCTCCCTATGGTGATGGGCCTCCCGATGGCTCCGGCTCCGGCTCCGGCTCCGGCTCCGGCTCCATCCCGCTTCAGACACACGGTGTCAGCCACTTGCTTCAAGGTACATTTTCCCAAGGCTGGCTGTCTTGTCGCTTGACTGTCACGTCACTGTGTATCAGCAAAACTGAAAAGTAAAATCACCTAAAGAGCCAGTGAGTCATTTATGATGAGAAACAAAGAACACATAAGATGATTTATTTGGATACAAATAATGAATGTGTTGTTTTTGGTTCCATTTCCTTGACTTATAAGCCACCTATAGGTTGGGGTAATTATGATGACAGTGGTACTCCACTAATGCCTTTTCTTCCCAAAATCAAGTGATATGTAGCACTAAGAAGGACAGTGATAGGGCAGGTGTACAGTTACCTATGAATTATTAATCAGGTGTATCCAGTTTAATAGCCTTCCCAAAGCAGAGAGAGTGGCCCTCAGTTGGAATGGTGTGTCGCAGGTGTGTGAAAGGCTTATGTACAGACAGTTAAATAGCGAGCTATACGGCCCTATACTGAGCTTTACCAGGAAATGGACAAACATGAGGCAAAAGCCATACAGAAAAGTCGTTTGCGTGGACGGTGGAAAAAGGCGTGGAAGGACAGTGGCTCAGGTATCTTGTTCGGGTCGTCTTGTTATATCCGACTGTTAAGTGGCTTCTTGGGGAAATTTATCACTTTGTCACGTGTCATTTCTTTTTCCTTTTATTTTTGATTGCGTGTCATGGGAACTGTCTTGGTGTTTATTAAGTGCTTAGGATATCGTGTTAGTGTTATTTTGCAGAGATACATGGGCAGTGATAGAAAAATACAGGTGTTTATGTTAGGATTTTTTTTCCAGTATTATTTACCAGAAATAAGTCTGATCAATAACTCAGTGTAGTCTTTTTGTGCATGTAAACCAAAACTGAGGTTAGTGAAAATTCCCAATTGCATATGTCCAAAATTGACAATGCGTATGTCCAACATGTTATATTTTTTAGCTTGTTAAGCTGAAATAATGGACAAATTATCGCTCTGGCAGCCCCTGGGCATGCTGGCCTCTGGGGGGTGATCACCGGGGCAGGTCACAGAGGGTGCAGGTCCCAGGTCAGTCTGTCTGGTGAATGTGGGTGTCTGTGTGAGAGTGGCTCATCAACCGTGGGGGTTGTTGCTGCACATCCGGGCGTGTCGTGCCTGATGCCCGCTACCCTGCTGCGTTCCTCCACGGCCCCCCCCAGCCCACACCCACCTACATCAGACTACATA